CCCCTTTGTCTCAGACCCAGCTGCTGCTAGTCAGTGCACCACTAATTCCCACTCAAATTGCCGATGAGGATTTTCGGGAATCTATTTCTAAACTTGACACCATTGATTTAAAAAAAAAGAAGGAACGAGAGAGAGGGAGAGAGAGAGACAGGTTGAGGAGTTCAAATCTGTTTCATTTCTGCTAGAAAATAATATCTGCGGCTAAGATAGTTTGGCACATGACGTGTCAAGCGACTGCCAGGATGGTGGAAGACGAACTGGATGGTCCTTGATCTTCTCTCATTATAAAGCCACGAGCTTTATAACCTATGTGTTTGGAGGTTCGTGAGGATAATTCATTACAAATGTATATACAATTGTACTTTGTAACCTGGCTAATTAATTGAGGTATTTTCCCCGTTCCCCACCCCCGTTGGATCAGAGCCAGGTGAGTGAGGGTTGCTTTGCTGCACCGCTGACTGCTGTGTGGACCTCGACTTGATCTTTCGCCCAGGTTTCTCAGCCCCTGTAAATGACTATCCCACGGAATGAATGAGATCCATAAAAAGCCCAGTCTTCAGCCAGCCATTCCCCTCAGAGTAACCCTCAGCTCCAGCTGGAAGCAAATTGGTGCAGACTGGGGTTTGAGGCTTGAAGCTGACAGCACGGTGGAGGGTGGTGAATCGCTGTGGTTAATTGCATGTCAAATTTCATACGTTTTTTGCTGTCATTGTTGCGCTGACGCATTCCAGCCATGGATACGAATCTGACTGTGAGGAGTGGGGGGGTTGGGCAGGCTTTCCTTGTGCCTCTTATAGGCTCCACGGAGTACACCCTGGACCAGGGGAGGCATTGGTGTAGAGACTGTGACTATCAATACAATTAAGTAATTCTATATAATCAGTAGTGGCAGAGAAGCCCCAGGATCACTACAGGCCATTAACAGCAGAGTCATGTGGGGGTCTTTGTTGAATCTAGGCCAAAAACAAATTTAAAGGAAAAGTGGGACTTAGAAGCATTTCGTGCTTGTAATGACAAGTATAGCATATGATCATGGAACGTGTAGTTAGAGGATTTACCCCCCATTTTAGCTGATTTGAATCCAGTACATTTTTATAGACCAAGGTCCTTCCTCTGGTCTATAAATTTATCTTTATGAACTTCCCAGTGTATATGTTATAAAACTATTGGCTGGCTTTGAATGGTTTCATTACCGTCCATAATCTTGAGGTTCAGATGACGATTATAAAGCACTCAGGATTAGCTGAACCTCTTGATTACATTACAGCTTTGTAATCATTCTCAGGTATCTGATATTCTATGTATAAACTATCTGAATCCCTCAATTAGACTGTAGCCTTGTAATCAATTCCAGGTGTCCATTATTCTATATATAAACCATCCGAACAGCTCAATTGGATTACAGCCTTATAATCACCCAAGTAACTATTATTCTCCACATAATATGCAATAATTATATTCTTTAGACAACAAAAATATCCTTGTAATGTTGGTTCTTCCTGTATCATGACACGATATAGCTTAGGACATTGGTAATCCTGCTCCTGGCTTCCACTATAGGACACTACTATAGGAAAACTGGCGTTCTCTTTAGAAGATATTGTAAGGACAAGTGAGGCGCTGTGTTTATTATAATAATAATAATTCTTGCATTTGATACAGCGCCTTATCACTTCTTCGAGGCATCTTGAAGCGTGACACAGAATATACTGTAAAGTGAATTGACTGTGTATTTTGTGGGTGAAATGCAGCAACCAATTGCGCACAGCAGCGTCCAACAAACAGTCATGGATTGAAGTGACCAAAATATTTTTTAAAAAAACGTTTGCAGGGATTATTACCGCCGGAAAATCGATCCGCCGATCGACTAACAACCGTGTTCCTACTTAATGCCAGGTAAACAGAGCCGTGTGTGTGTGTGTGGAGTAAGGAAACGTGCCTAAGGTTTTGCCCTGTGAATCACTCGCCAGTGACCGAGAGATGTGACCAGGCAGAGTTTGGGTAAAATGGGATGTGACTGCGTGGCGAGAATGTGAGGGGTTTTGCGTCTGCTCTGCTCTGGTGTATCCGACACTTCCCCCAGAGGCCACCTGTGAGACATAGGGGTGTAAAAGCCATCCATCTGCCTGAATCCAGGGTGGTCCAGCTGGATGACTGAGAGATGGCAAATAGCTGTAATTTTGTGCAGTAACCCAGTGATTAAAGGGATAGCTTCCCATTTTGTTGGCCAACAACAGACAACTGTGCTTTTTTTTCAAAGTTACTTTCAAAAATCCAAAGCTGCAGAGAATTATTTGCCTTTGGGGCAAATCGCATCACAATTCATTTGAAGTGTGTGTTTTGGGTCGGAAAGCTCCAATTTTTTTTTTAGAAAATAAAAAACTCTTACAAAAAAAATCAAAGGGAAAACTTTTTGTTTTACGCGATTTTGGCAAAGTTGTACAGAATTTTTTTTTATTAAGTTCAGTGTCTCCAGCGCCTTGGGACGTCCTCCCGACATGAAAGGCGCTATACAAATGTAATCTTGGGGCTCCTGTACGTTCTATGTAAAGTATAAGGTTATGGTTCTAATCATAGCCACGCTATCCCAAGGGGGGCGGCTGTGCATCAGACTTCCGAAGGGCTGGCGGTATACAGCGATGGCATGGAAATGGCAACAACTTCTCCCATCCTGGGTTTGTAGCGTTAAGCGCTCTGCCCCACTATCCCGATTGAAAGGCGCTATATAAATGGAAGTTGTTGCTGTCGGTGGTGGTGGTGGTGTTGAAGTGTTCTCCTTAAAAAGGGTAAGATTAAAAAGGATCCTGTAAAATGGACTGTAAAGGGATCCTCTTTTGAAAGGCATCTGATGCTGTGACTCCTTCAAGAGTGAAATCTTCCAGGAGATTGTTTTGATGGCTAATAGACCTGCTCCTAAGACTTTGGTTTTATCCGTGTTAAAGGGAGAACGGTAATTTGAAATTGAAACACACACACACACACACAGAGCCTCATCAAACGGGAACTTTTCCACTCTTTGATGTGCTGCTTTACAGATGGTGATTTTTTTCATCTCGCCTCATCATGTTTGGTCTCGTTAATCAACTTTTTTGGAATTTGAGGATTTGTTTTTTCTTTAACATGCGATCGGCTTTAGATCATATTGCATGGTTTAAAATTAAAGGGATATTTTCTGGCTCTTTGTAGTCTCGCACCATGAGCCAAAACATAACGATCAGATTGATAGAAGACCCGCCCGTTATTATCTTCCTACTCGTACCATCTGTATCCGCACTAATGTTTACAATATTTCACATCAATGAATAAATGCCATTGAGCTTAAATTTACATGTCGGCCTTTTAAATTATAGGCTTAGAAACCTCCAGTAACACAGCAACGTTGGTCTTCACTGTGGGTCTGATCTTTTGAGTTAGCCCTTATTCATTTATCGCAGACGCAGGCTTAAAAAAAAATCTGCAATTGGTGCTGTGTTTCGCCCACAATATACACAGTCACTACACTTTACAGTATATTCTGTGAAGCGCTTTGAGACGTCTCGACGATGCGATGAGGCCCTGTATCAAATGCAAGGATTATTATTATATCTCCGTAAAGCACCAAGTACTTGTCGAGTCCTGTAGCTCAGTGCTTAGAGCACTTGCTTCACAAGCGAGAGACCTGGGTTCAAACCCGACAGGGCAAAACCTTGCGCAAGTTTCCTTACTCCACACGCCTGATAATAATCCCTCAAGAAAAAAACACAATAATAATTTGGTCACTTCTATCCACGACTGTTTGTGGGACGCTGCTGCGCGCAATTGGCTGCCGTGTTTCACCCACAAAATATACAGTCAATTCACTGTACAGTATACCCTGTGAAGCGCTTTGAGACGTTTCGAAGACGTGATAAGGCGCTGTATCAAATGCAAGGATTATTATTATAAGTACTGCTGTGTAAATGGAGGCTTGTGTTTACACTGTGACGTGTATATTCATTGACTGGGCTTTTCGCTAAACCCAGTAGCGCTGAGTATTAAATGCCAATCAGCAGGGCCGGTGGGGTGGGTGGGGGTTAGCAGCCCAATGGGATGAAGAACCTCGACATGTCAGGATATTAATAATAATGCCGTGTACGGCTCCCTGTTTGTGGTCTTGCTCTGTGATGTTGGTCTACCTCGCTCACTCTGGAAGTCGGCCAGCCCTTCAGTTTGGGCGCCAACAGCAGATGAGAAAGCGTGTAGGAAATGAAGCCGGTGCTGTAGGGAGGGAGGAATGGGGAGGGGGAGGGAGTTATCAGGGAATGAAAGTGAGAGGCATATAACACATAAACCAGGAAATGTTCTGTGTTCCCCGGACCTCAGAGACTATGGTTCCCCAATGGTGGGGTTTGTACAGGAAAAGTAGGGAAGTCTGATGTTGTTAGTATTATAAAGGCACAATGCTTTGTTTTTTTTAGGTGTGTGTGTTTATTTTTTGTCTCATACCTACAGCCTCCTGTTATACTTATGTGATATTTCTATTTCACACTGTTCCCCTCTGCTCTTCCCATTCACCCGCTCTCAATACCATTTGATCTGAAGCTCATCAGCAGTTGAGATGTAGAAGCTCCTTCAATCCATTTGATCTCGTCCTTCCTCAATACCAGCTTTTCTCAGTGACGAGCAGTTTCTTTATTGGTTCCAGTGCCCAAAGCACTCGAACACTGATGTCCACGAGTAAGTGGAACAACACTTGTCTTAGATGTATTTAGGACTGTTAACAGACCTCATGGATGAGACTTTTATCCCAGGAGTCTAGACTGGTTCCCAGGTCACACAGATTAAAGGATGGGATTTAACCAACTACACTCGCCCATCCCTCACTTGCTGCTGCTTCTGGTTTACGATGGTTGGTGCTCAAGTGAATTGACAGCTTTTTGGGGAAAAAAAGGTCCAAACCGAGATTTCTCATGGCAGTCATTTGGGTTATTTTTTTTCGATCAGTGCCTCTAATGTGCTTCTCCCTCTCTGTTTGCCTGCAGTTGGGAGCAGAGTGAGTCGAGAGTTGATGTACACACGAGACAAACTGGGTGAGGAGACCATCTTCACCACGCAGATGCTAATACAGACCTCAAAGAGAGAAGGAGAAAACATTCTGACTGAGGAAGCTTTGATCCAGCATCTGGACGCTGCTTTAGCAGCCAGCAAAGTCCAAGTCTCGTTGTATGGAAAGTAAGCGAATTGCTTTTGTGTAATGACGTTGTGTTGAACCTCCGGATTCTTTATTCCCCTCCGTTCAGCCAACTAAGTTATTACTGTACTGTGGCTTGTCAATGTTATTCCCCTCACGTTGCCCCTGTTTTTTGTTGGTGGGGGAGAAGGGGGTTATTTTCCATTTTTAAGGTATTTGATTATCTATTTTGTAAGTCATTCTGGTAAAGGGTTCACACAGGTGTGCATGCGGACACAATTCACGATTAGCACTGCCGGGTTAGGTCTACATTTTGTTTTACGTCCTCAATGCCTTACTTTCGACCTTACTTTCAGGTCCTGGGATTTAAACAAAATCTGCTACAAATCTGGAGTACCTATCATTGAGAGTGGAATGATCGAGCGAGTGAGTATTGGCAATATTGTACTGTCTATTATTCGTTCATCTTTATTGGCCAAAAGGGTTAATACGATATGGTGGTGGGTGGTGGTGGCAGCGGTGGTGGTGGTGGGGGGGAATGAGAGAGAGCACGATAGAGAGAAAGAGGAGAATGCAGACATTTTAAGACTGCTCCCATGTGGAGTTGCTAGTGTGATATGACACTGTGGTATTACGTACAATGGAACTCGCATGTTGCTGTCAGACTTTCAAAGCCGGCTGGTATGATGGAGATCAAGAGGCAGAAGGCTGATGACAGGCTGCACTGATTTATGTCTGTCTAATGGTTGTAGGGTTCAGCCTGGCCTGTGCCAACATGCTCTGTGTATGCACTATCAGAGGAGCATGTTTGGCACACACAGTCATTAATTATCTCCTCGCTTCCTCCCCCACCCCCCGCCACACACACACACACACACACACACACACCAAACCACAAATTATTAGGCATCAGTTTACACTGACCACAATGGGCATTGTAGTTTGTGAAGGAGCTTCAACATGCTCTCGAGTTATAAGTGAGAAATAAACATGTTACAGCATCTTTTCAGGAGTTAAACCACTAAGCTCTCAATTCTGACAGATTACTGTGGTACTTTGTGACGGACCACGAAATTCATCCATACCATTTCTGGTCAAATTCAAATCAAACCTAAAATATACTGACAGCAAAAGAGAGTGTGTGTTGCCCCTTTTTTTCTGACCAAGCACTTTAAGTTGCTGTCTCTAATCGGTAATTAAATGATGCAGTATGTTGGCTTAGTATCCCTTCATTTCCAAAGCTGGAAATAAAGGACAGAATCTCCTGACTGTGAGGACAAGTAGTAGATGGACAGTGACCCCCTACTATCATCTTTCAATTCTGTTTTGTGCAATTGTGAATGTACAATTAAATTGGGCTATTGTGTCTCTCCCCCGACCCCTCCCTCCCTCCCTCACCCCCCACACACAACAACAACAGCAGCAGCAGAGATATCCTTTAACATTGATTTCAACATTGATTTAAAAAGAGACCACTTCGTATGAATTTTGCTGCTTATATCACCATGTTTTATCGTCAAATATAGTGATGTTTATTCACTTGCCTTTTCCTTCCCTGTAGATGATTGAGAAGCTCTTTCCTTGTGTTATTCTAACTCCCCTGGACTGTTTCTGGGATGGTGCCAAGCTTCAAGGCGGTTCTGCTTACCTACCGTAAGTACCACAGCCTCTAATTATTATGTTTCTGGGAGGTTTAAAGGATTGCTACTTTTTTTTTAAAAAAAAAAGTTACCGAGTGGACGTTTCTCCCAAGTTTTTGGGGGTCTGAACTAAAGTGGTGAGAGGGTGAACAATGGCTCGCATTCTTTCTCTGCGATGTGGTTGCTTGTCAGGCAGTGCCGAGACCCATGGGAATGCTTTGTCAACAGACGGTAACTGAAGTTATTCTCATGTTAATCCGAGCCCTTATTGCCGCAAGTTGCCCAACAAATAAAATGTACACATCATTCATGCCACGGGCCCTATTTTATAAAATAAAAAAAAATGCCCTTGAGAAGAAACGACCCTCTTCTCGTTTAAAACCCACTCACTCACTCACTCACTCACTCACAGCGTTCCCTTCTTCAAACTATTTTCACAGCTTTTTTTTTGTGAAGGGGGGGTTGGCAGTGGTGGGGAGACTGGGACTTTATTCTGCACAGTGTTGCTGGTCACTAAGTCATTCAATTTAAACACGACACAGGGTAATTCTTAAAATAAGTATTTTGGGGGGATTTTTAAAAAAATAGGATTTTGGGGTGTGTGTGACATTTTCAGGTCTTATTTTGTGTGCGAACGTGATTGAATGTGTGAGTGAGCGTGTGAGAGGGTGTCTGTGCATCTGTCTGGGTGTGTGTCTGGGTGTGTGTGTGGGTATTCCCTCCACATAGTGCAGAAGTTCTCTCTCTCTCTCGCCCCCCCGCCCCCCCCCTCATTCTCTTCCCTTCCCATCGCTGCTGAGGGTGAGCCTGTACGCCGTCAGCTTCCGCTTCAGTTCAGCCAGTGCGAGAACGAGAGAGAGAGAGAGAGAGAGAGAGAGGGAAAAAGGGAGAACAAAGAATGGCAATCTATTCTCCAAAGTGGAAAAACAAAAGGGTTTGAGCAGACTCACTCAAGCAAGAAATAGGAGATAAAGGAGCCTCTCTTTGGTTGCAGTAGAAGGGTTTGCTGGTATGTGGGAATCAGAAAGAGCTTGCTTCATGCAATGCCCAACTCATGAATTATTGGAGTGTCATTCTGCCAGAGTTGGGACTTTTTTTCTCTCTCTCTCTCTCTCTCTCTCTCGCTCCCCTTCTATTCTATTATTCAAGTTGCCCTGTACACATTTTCCTGCATCTCGCTCTTTCTCTCCCCCGCGCGCTCTCTCTCGCGCTCTCTCTCTTGCTTGCTCCCCCTGAAAATATCACATTCATACACTCGCTTTTTGTTTACCCGCGAAAAATTAAAGGGCGGTGGGGGGCCTTCAAAATAAAGCAGGATAATAAAAATGAGTGAGTGCCAGTATCGAGGAATGACCAACCCTGTTATTGCATTGTGGATGGTCACTTTTTGGCATTGGCTCAAGGCACTGGTGCGATGAAGCTCAGAAGCGTCAGTGTTGTTGGGGAAATTATCATTGAGATATTCTGCATGGATTTACCAGCTGTGGGCATGTGGGGCTACAGCTGAAACCTTTATAATGATTTGCTCAGAACAAATAGCGTTTCACAGTCACCAGCTGCAGATTTCATGTTAATAAACCTCTGGTGGTGATTATGTTACAAGTTGTCGCCTTCTCTCGTGTCCGGCAAATGTCAATTTCAGTTTTTCTCCCTCGAATTTCACTGCACAGCCGGGATGTAGGTGCCCGGACTGACTGACTGTGTCTGTAACAACTGCCACAGTCACCACTAAATGGTGATCCAAAGTGAAATCGTACACACCTGCTCATGACCATTTCTTATTCACATAAGCAAGGTGTGTGCATGCACACACTCCACACACTCCACACACACACGCGCATATACACACACACATACACGACACACACACACACACAGGGAACGCATATTATGAATGACAGCAGACGCTGGAGAGTAACGTCATGGCTGTTATCTGATCTTATGGGTCACATAACAAGCCGAGGTCTGACACTCTGTGATGTCAGTGCCCTTCTCTACTTGGTCACTGTGGCTCAGGTATCCATTTTACTGCAGTTAATCAAACTGACATCCGGTGTCTTATATTCTCTGCAGTATTTTCACTTGCTCGACAGGGAAAGCCATTCCTGTACAATTATTCCCCATTGCACTTGAATTTTGTAGTAAAGCTTGAATTAAATGTGACAATTAAATGACCCCATTCCTAACACCACCCCCCCACCACCGCCCCCCACCAAGTGAAAAAACTAAATAAAGGGAGACTTGACAAGTTCTGAAGAACTTTATTAGGGTCGGATCAAAAGGGAAAGAAGGAGCAGTCTGGGGAGGGAGGAGGGTGTGAGTTTCATCTCTTCCATCCCACTTTCCTGAGTCCGATATTCTGCTCTTAGCCAGAATTGGTGATGAGTTGGCAGCAGCGGGTATTCAAATGCACTGAAATGAGAAGAAAGAAAGAGAGAGAAAAAAAACCCCACTCCCTTTGTGGCGGTGGGAGAAAACCATACAAAAGGATATTTTACAGATGAAGAGATTAATGATTTAATGTGGCTGAGAAGAGAGCTGTTACATGGAGAGTGGGAGGAGGAACGAGCACAATGGGGGTGGGGGAGAGACACAATCAGAGTGGCAGTCAGCGCTGGAGACCGTAGGCCTCTGTTTGTGGGACGTAATCTGATTATTTAGAGGAAAGACCTTTAAGGAAAAATTAATTTGATTGGGACTGACACATAGCCCGGATAAGTGTAGGTGGGGAGTGTTCTGTTCACGGGATCTTTATCTAACCTTTTTTTATTTTTGAAAAAAGCCAACTCATTCCAACAGAGTGAAATATTCCAAACTCCCAAGTCGATTAATTATCTTAGAGGCTATCTTTTTGTTTATCCTTAATGAAACGATAAATGGAGGAAATAAAAAAAAATGCAGGGTTTTAAAGTTCCACCTTCTTCGAGCCCAGATACTGGCAATTTTATACTAATGAATGGTGATTTCTGTTAGGGCCACAATAGTTTCACAGCCTTTCACATCTGGGAATTTCTATATTCGAAGTTGATCTTTTTTTCCCTCTGATTTTGAAACCTTTGACGCAGTTTAGATGCAATGAACGATGTTAACAAAGTGACGAATTCTGCTGCATCATTCACCTTCTCTCCTTGAATTTAAAGCCTACGGCAACAACAACTTGCATTTATATTAGCATCCCGGAGCGCTTAAAGCTTAGAGAGAATACAGTCAGGTAGGGCATGTTGTGAAAGGTTCCATGAAACCCTTTCCCTACTCTCTTTCAGGTTAGTTTTTATTAGGCTGACAGCATATCTCATTAACTGCCTTAACAATATGTCAGAAGAGGAAGAGAGTCTCTCCCTCTCTGTCTCTCTCCCTCTCTATCTCTCTCTGTCTCTCTCTCTCTGCAGGAATTTAAGATGACCCGGGCAGGCTGGGCAAACCACACGCCAGTAATATCAAGACATTTGCGAGCTCCAGTATAATTGTCATGTCTCACTGAACAAAGTTAAGAAATGCGAGTGGGCACTGCGGTCTGATCAAGCTTTCCTTCACTTTGTTCCTGCATAATGGGATAATACATGGTCTTTTACTCGGCATCTGGCAATGATATAAGCTTAAAGGGAAGGTAACTCTATGGTTAAGTGCCATCAATAGGAAGTACTTACCCACAGACCACCTCTTATTTGTTTTCATTTTCTTATTTTTAATACGTTACATTTTAAAATGAATTCCACGTTTACCCGGATTTCTCCGTCTTTGCGATATCAGCTGTCAGTAGACGAGGGGAGATGATGAGGGATCTTTGGAGATTCTGTTCCAGACCACAATCACAGGTTGGGTTTCAGCACTTCTCATTGATAGGGACTTATTCTCCAAAGTCTTCCTCTACGCAAATAATGCTGGAAATGTGTGGAAAAGAAGTGGAGGAACTGAAACGCGGCAAAACTGGTATTAAAAAAAATCATTAGGGAAAAGATATCCCAATTGAACTGTTCAGATCCACTAAAGGCGGAACTCGTGCTAACTTCAGGAGCTTGGGAAGTGTTCTGGACAAGTGAGGATTTGATATCAAATCAGACGTGGGATTAGTGATCAGAGCCCGGTGACTGAGTTGTAGGTAGAAGGTGAGATATGTGAACGAGCAGTGAAGAGTAGATGTTTTTCGTGACTGAGAGAAAGGTGCTGTCACCTTTTGCTGTCTCGGAAATGGCGGGAGGTATAGGGGGAGCCAGGCACACACACAGGATTGGCAGCTCAGAAGCAGCAGCGATGTGGTGTAGAAGCTGTGACTGAGATGAGCTTGCACCATATCACCACGGACCCTGGCTTTGCTGTGGATCATAGTGAACAGCAGCCAAAACCTATGGTTGAACAGCGGTGGATAGGATGGTACATGGTGGCTGACATCAGCAGGCCAGGCCAGGCACTGAAGAGAATAGGTACAAATGGATCTATGGCACAGTTTCTCCAGTGGGTTACATAACCAGACACTATTGTTGTAAATATATTTACAGTCACAGCTTCTATCTGAAATCCCTGTGGTGTGTAGAGAGCCATTAGACAGTACAACTGTACAAATGATATTTGTTAGATACCTTTCACCGCTTTACCACTTTCACAGATCTCCAGCGTGCACTATAGATATATTCATATTCCGTATCACATGATACATCAACATCTGAAAACACGTGGTATTCTGGTGAATGGTATCCTTGTAGCTTTGCTGGTTTTTTTTACTTAACGCTGTCTTTTAAAAACATAATTGATCCAATTATATATATTTTTTCCTGTTCCGTCCGTTTCGGAAGCTCTGTGCAGCACTCCATCTTGTGGCTCACTTGAGAACCACTGAACTGTGCTCGATCGGGGGGGTTTGAATGTCAGTCAAGCCTATCTTTCAAACTCATGACCCTCTGGTTGAACGTGCAGAGGCCTAGGCCATTTTAAGCCTTGTGTACCTGTGCGTTAGATGTCACACCATTGTAGAATTAACTACTCACTCTGTTTGCAAACTGTTCCAAGACCAGTAGCCTGCAGCTACATCCATTGGTGTGGTTTTTCCAAACTGTGGCAAACATGACAAATTTAGTCATTGATGGATTCCTTTCTTTTTTCTCTCTCTCGACAGAGGAAAGCCAGACATTCAGTGGACAAATCTTGATCCAGTCCAACTTCTCGATGAACTGGGGCAGTTTACACCTTTGGAGGGTTTCCGCGAGATGCTAGATAAGGCTCAAGTAGGACATGCTTACATGGACAGACCCTGCTTACAGCCCAGTGATCCCGAGTGCCCTGGAACAGCACCAAACAAAGGAACTCTAGAGGTAATAATATTAAGTAATATTAAGTAAGCCTCTCTACATAGGGTCTGACAGTCAGAGCCAGTGTGTTTTCTTTAAATATGTAATCCCTATAGTTTTGGTATTATTTCATGAACATTGGCACATTTGGTCACCCACCTACCCCCACCCTCCCTCCCCGCCCTCCACCACCCCTGATCCCAACCCCCAGCCCGCCAAATCCCTGATTGTCCAGCACCTTGGGACGTCCTCTCGACGTGAAAGGCGCTATTACAAATGTAATTTATTGTTGTTATGCTGGGACGATGGATTGTAATTTTTTTGAATGTTGCCAATTCACCTCTGGCACTTGGATTTGAATGGGATTAACACAGATGGAGTTATAGGTCTCATGTAAAAGAATTTGGATACAACCTCAACTTAGTTATCAGTGGGCATGTGTCCACAGCCCACAGGATGTCTCTGAAACTCTGGGCTGTTCATCTACTGGTTTAAACCTTTTGCTGAGTTGGTCCTAAGGAAGCATGAGGTGTGAGATGGGTATGGAGGGGTGGGGAGGGGGGGGGGGGGGAGGGAGAGAGAAAGAGAGAGAGGTCCAGGAAACAGGAGCACTCAGGTCAAGCTGTGTATGATGTCACTGTCCTTTGCTCAGGTCGATTCCCATTCCCCAGAGTGATGGACGTCTGCATTCAGCAAATGGCTTTCAGGGCAATAAATAGAGCGATGCCCTTTGGAAACTGGGTTGACTGATCCTTTGCAGTCAAAAGGGATTTCATTAAAACTAAGGCATCTGGTTCAGAGAAGTTGGAGAATGCCCCAAGAATTGGGAAGAAAGGACAAGTATTAACAAGACAAAGATAGGAATGTGGGACCGATCCACTGTGTCCTTATCCAAGTGTGGGTAAAACGCTGCTATAAATGGAGAACACTTTTGGTTGTAATGTGGCACAGGTTTGGAGAGCCTTTCCTACCTGCTTCACTGCAATTCCCAAAAGCATGATCTACCTCATGTCTCTGGAGATCCACAGTGCAGAATATGAGAAGGCATTGTGCTCAAATCTCCCCAAAGTGGAAAGGAAGTCCGTCATGTGGTCTTGATCCTTGTGGTCACACCGCTGTGTAATTATACCAACCTGTGTGTGTAGGCGGCTTAGTATTCCAACTCTGAAAGCTACCCGCCCTGAGGATCTTTCTTACAGTGAGTCCAACCGCATTGTTACAGAAGGCTTTGACTGATGCCCTGTGCCTTCTATCTGTGTGCCAAATCTCTTGGGTAACATGTCTTCCCTGCCAGTCGAATAGGAGAATAGTTGGCACAGAGTATCATTCCGTAGAGAGAGAGAGAGCATGAGATTCCAGTTCAAAACCTCCATCAGGTGACAACTGAACTCGTACAGAATTGCTCAGTGCCACGACTGACGAACAAACATCAAGATGTTGGTCGGATTGGAGATGGGGGTGGGAAGAGGAGGGTGGGTGGGGAGAGAGAGAGATCGTGTCAGATCACATGTGCAGAGATGAAATCTGCCCACAGAATGCCAGGTGTAGAGTCTGTCTGCAAACCTCATATTCCAGCAAAGATGTGCAATAAAGTCTGGAGAAGCATTTGTTGGCCAAGCTCACGATAGTATACATTTTGGAAACGGGGTGAAAACCACAGAAGGGAAACTGATAGGTGGGAAAAAGTTCACGGTATCTATTTACATTCCTGAGCAGAGCCAGTGTTTCCCCAAGAGGCCGACACAAGATTAGGAACTACTACTCGAATGTAAACAAAAACGAGTAGAGCATCTAATATTTATACTGCGAGTACTCAGAGTGAGTTTTGTTTCATTTATAGGCTCCTGATATTCCCGCTGAGTTAACTGGAGGCTGTCAAGGGTTTTCAAAGAAGTTCATGCATTGGCAGGAGGAGCTGATTTTGGGAGGCATGACCAGAGGTTCCCAGGACGAGTTGCTGAGGTAAGTCAGGAGGTCAGAGGAAAACTTAAGTCAGTTAGAATTTTCATTGCCCTGTATAAACACACAACATGCCAACCGATTGAGACTGGGTGGCACAGTAAGCTAGAACATTGGCCTTTCATCACTAGGATTTGAATTGCTGCCAGGATGATCAGATGAAGGTGTCTTTGTCTTTGAGACAGTCTCAAGTGATAGGAGTATGCGCACTCTCAACCCAGCTCCATGCCTCCGTGCGTCAAACCTGCCTGTAATTGTGCTTCTAATTGACATTTGTTTGGCAGTCTCACTGAGCGGCTGGAGCGGGGAACCTAGCCATCAGACGGGGCTAGCTCTGTGATGCTCGTTTGCTCTTTGAAAGTTGGAGGTGAAGGGATAGTGTTTCAGGCTGTCACGAGAGGTCTGAATTGTACTTACTCTGAGGTGCTTACGTGACCCGGGAGATCTCAACGCTGGCAATGGACGGCTGTGTCCCAAATGCACTGATTTGTGAGGTTATTGGTCTGCTTGTCTCTCTGCGGGACACAGCAGGCTGTTCTCTCAGCCTGGTTCAGAGTGACTCGAGCAGCGGGCTGTCTGTCTGTCTGTCAACCCTCTCCTCCAGGGGGATGGTGTGTGCTGGGCAGGGAGGCCTGGGTCAGGGGAACACTACATGCTTGGTATTAAACGTTAAATTAGAAAGAGACCTCGTCCAGAAGGAAAATGAACAAATCAGTAATATCAGACTGGTTATCTCGCAAGACAAACCAGAGGTGCACTTTGTCAATGTGATCTTGCTTCTTTTTTGGAGGATCTGAAAGGGTTAAGGCCTGAATCAGGCTGATTTGACTTGTAATAACCCCATTGCTAAGGAATTCCTTGCGCAGGGAGTCAGAGGTGCCCTTTGGCCTGAACTCTGGAGTAGCCAGCTGCAGTAAATGGATGGTCACATAATCCTGCCCCTTACATCAGTCTTTCAAACCTCAATGAGTCTCTCATCAGTACCCCTTTTAAAAAAGGGAAGGCTTCATTATTGGGCCCCCCTTTGACCACTCACTCTTCCCACCCCTTTAAAGGACGAGTTTTATGTTATCTTCGTCCTGTTAAAGAGTAAATATAATGATTTCGATCATTATTAAAGGAGATATTTTGCCATTAGGGACCCCTTTAGAGAAGGAGTCACACAGGTGGAATCTGTCATCGGGTTTCTCTTTAAAGACGAGAATCTCACCATCAAATTCACTTTTAATCAGAAGAATTGTAAATATCATTGATTATTTTATAATTTTATAATCAGCTCGCTCGTATCTGTATGACTCAGGGATTCTCTGATCGTGAACCCCAATAACAGGGGTTAACTCGCTCCTTCAGCATTTATTTTAACATTACACAGAAATCGATTTGGGGTGGGGGGAGAAGAATGTTAAAACTAACTGAGAAACTCTTTTATTTTTAAATGGTGTGTTGTGAACTTTGTAACACTAGAGGTGCTCCATATGTTACTCGAGTCACATAGAAATAGGATTGTGTTACTGTTGTACAATAATGTGCTGCAAGGGTTAGATACGAGTTTGCAGTTACTGTGAGCGTTGCTAAAGATACCTAAATTGGTCACTTCAACCCACGACTGTTTGTGGGGACACTGCTGTGCGCAATTGGCTGCCGCGTTTCACCCACAAATATACAGTCAATTCACTTTACAGTATATTCTGTGAAGCGCTTTGAGGCGTCTCGAAGATGTGATAAGGCGCTATATAAAATGCAAGGATTATTATTATTACCTGGGCTGGACAGATTGCTTCCTGGAGGATAAGGTGGGGGGGGGATTGTTGTCAAAGACCCAGTAACGACCTCCTCAAACGAGGCATTGGTAGACGTCTTGTGGCTGATCTCTTTCCGTCCAGGGGGCTGTGTACGACTTTGGGGTGAGTGGGACCTGCTAAAGGCAGGAAGAGAAAATAACACGGAACGATTTGAAATAAAAAGCGGAAAATATTTTTTAATTCCTGAAACAACACCCTGGAGGGTAGGGCTATATGATCTCAGTATTTTTTTTAATCCTGTTTATTTTAATTTAAAACCAGAAATGAAAAGGAATGGGGTTTACAAAGCGGGGTTGGTGCTTTGCACAGAGCGCGACCTGGGAAATCTCAGTGGATACGGTGCAATCCGCTCAAACAGGCCGTGAAGAACACTGGAAACATTACTTTGTGATATGATTTACGATATCCTAGTTCTGTGTGCTTTGAGCTGCGACCATCAATTTGCCCGGCCAGCGGCTGTTTGGCAGCTAAAAGCAGACGTTTACACCTGTGACAACACTCCTGACCGGTCCCTGTGATGGAGCTGCCATAAAATTATAATTTTATTAAGGTGTTGGGGGGGGAGAGAGAGCTGCTAGCCTGACCTGCCTAGTGTCCAGGGCCATTATAGATTATAAATTACCAGATCGAGATATAAAGTTTCAGGTTTAACACAGTGAGACTGTGACTAAACTACATGAAAAGAAGCCGGTGAGGAACAGTACTGGAGCAGAGACTCAGAGAAACATTACATTTCTCGAGAGTTTCTTGCTCTCTCTCTCTCCGCACACGAGTTACTTCACCTTCCAACGGCCTTTTCTGCCTGCAGCCAAAAGGCGAAATACTTTACGCTCCGCCATCAGGCAAACTGCTGCACTTTTGGTGTGAAAGTAATCTTTAAGCTTTACTGTTTCCACTCCCATTTTCCTTTTATTGATCTCCCCACATGGGGGATCAACCACAGACACATTAGGCCAAGTGACCTCCTTTCACACCTCTGGCACTGCCGCTGTGTAACTAACTGCTGGAGGGTGACTGAGGGTGGCCTTGGCAGCAATTCTCCATGTTTCCCACACTTTCCCGAGCTCACTTTATGTTGGTGCTCCAGATCCTGTGCACTGTTTTACTGCACTGCCTTTCCGAATTGTGGTCTCTGTCCTATGATGCCCTCAGTGAGATAAGTTTCCAGCACTCGCATTGCTTTGTGGTTTTTGCTTAATAGTACTATCAATAAGAATTTGCTTTGTTTTCCTCTCCCTCTCTCTCTCTCTCTCTCTCCATCTCCCTCTCTTCTTCCCTGCCCCTCTCTCCCTCTCTCTCCCTCTCTCTCTGTACCTCAGTGCTGAGGCTCTCCAGACCATGTACCTGCTGATGAGCCCCAAACAGCTCTATGAACATTTCAAGGACGATTATGAAATCCACGACATCAACTGGAACGAGGAAAAAGCAACGGCCATTCTGGAAATCTGGCAGCGAAAGTTTGTCGAGGTAGAATATAAAATGACTTGTTTATAACACCTTTCACGTCGGGAGGCCTGGTCTGGTCACCCCGTGTTGTGCTGTGCAGACATTTGGCACATTAGGATTATAGTGAAGAAGGCATTAGAGAAGAAGAACATGTTAGAAATGTGACAAGACAACATGAGAAGATGCTAAACGGCCTGCCACAATGATTGAAAGCCTTGGGAGCAGACAGCCGAACCAATTCAGTCTCATTTTAACTGAAAAGCATCCCCCCACCACCCCGCACTCCTTAAATTTTTATAAGTGGGGGGAAAAAAAGGCGGCAATTTCTTTTGATTTAATGTGTGATTTTTTTTGGTTTGGGGAGGGGGAGGTGGGTGGGGTGAGGAGCGGTAGCTACAATTGCTTCTGTAAGCGTTGGAATTCCACATCAGGCTGATTTCCATCAGTCCACAGCTGTATTGTACAGAGAGCCAGTTTCTGAGACTCTTGACAGATGAAGAGTTATAGGAACAGGCTGTTGGGTGATAATTGACTCCCTGGATACTAAAGGCTTGAGGCCTACGAAGCGCGCACAGAGAAAGGGGGTGGGTGGGGTGGGGAGTCGTAAACGTTGAGGGTTTAGCAAAAAATCCGAAGGTTGAAGGCCCTTTGGCTGTGGGCTTAAGGTGGTGAATGACAGGACCTTTCCTGGCCTCTGGAGACCATGTGATCCCACCTCACCTTTGACCATAGTGACCTTTGGCATCTGCAACCATTATTCTAAGCTGTCAAGACTCGAAAAGAATATAGATTATCAAAATAGCATGCTCAAAGGGAATACCCTGAGAGGGAAAAATGAGATCAAAATAAGGGATGGATTGGGCAAATTAAGATTCGGATAAACTGTGTCGGACAAATTGGAACACTTAATCCCTCGGCTGGTGATTTTTTTTGACAATATTTTGTTCTTGGACAAATCGGGAGTAAACACCATGGAATTATATTAGCTTTAAAACCTGTATGTTTAATTTCACTGGACATGTGGACATACCATAAATGGTCATTAGTCATTTGACTGAATTTTGGATTTGCTTATTAGAATCTGTAACTGGATTTAAAAAATCTACAGGTTTTCCTTGCTGCCACCTTAAGGTCTTGTTGACTTCAAAAACTATATTTTTTTTTACCAGAAATATCATGACTTACTGTTTTCACTGACTGTTGTTGTAGGTAGCTCACCAGACTGTATTACAGAACTCCTCGCAAAATATCCACGCCTTTTCCACCACCACGCTTAATGACATTATGAAATCCTTTTCTGATGTCAGTGCTATCCGAGTAGCTGGAGGATATCTGCTAATGGTGAGTGTGTTTTGACTTGTAAATAATAATACTTGCATTTGATATAGCGCCTTATCATGTCTTCAAGACGTCTCAAATATCCACGTAGTAAATGTTCGGCTCCTTAGTTATGGCCACCGAAAGCTGAAATCTTGGGAGTGATTTGGAGAGCATAATTGTTTCGAATACCGATCTTAAAAAAAATTTGGTCACTCAATCCATGACTGTTTGTGGGACGCTGCTGTGCGCAATCAGCTGCCGCGTTTCACCCGCAAAATACACAGTCAATTCACTTTACAGTACACTCTGTGAAGCGCTTTGAGACGTCTCAAAGACGTGATGAGGCGCTATTATCAAATGTGAGGATTTATTATTTCACCTCTGGGAATTATGTTCAAATGATGGGGTAAAAATCTCTTCGCATGTGGGTTTGGGATGGCGGGTGGGGTGGGGGCGTTGATCTAAACTCATCTTCTAGTCCATGTCACAGAGCAACGGAATTGTTAGTGTAAGGTTTGACTTGTATGTATGTCAGGAAATGGTTCTTTGCGGTGATTAACGGTGTGTTTTTATCTTCTCTCGGTTTCATGCCTGTGTCAGCTGGCCTATGCGTGTGTGACTATGCTGCGGTGGGATTGCTCGAAATCTCAAGGAGCTGTGGGCCTGGCTGGTGTCCTCCTAGTTGCCTTGTCAGTGGCTTCTGGGCTGGGGCTGTGCTCTCTTCTGGGAATTTCCTTTAATGCAGCTACCACCCAGGTAATACATTTCACAAGCTGCGTTGTTCCCTATTTTTTAGTGGAGTTCACCGGAGTTCTTTGGGGGAGGAGGGGGCAAGAGAAGACATCTACAATCAAAAAAAAATGGTCCAACAAAATTATTTGACAGTAATAAATCCCGAGGATTGATTATTATGTGGAGTTCTGTAGTGTAATGGTTAGAGCAATCGCATCACAAGCGAGAGGACCTGGGTTCGATTCCCGGGCAGGGCAAAACCTACGGCAAATTTCCTTATTCCACACGCCTCGGTTTACCCAGCAGGAAGTAGGAACCCGTTTGTTAGTTGATTGGCGGATCGTTGCTCCAAAAAAAAATGTGGTCCCTCAATCCACCTCTGCTTGTGGGACACTGACTGCTGTGTGCAATTGGCTGCTGCGTTTCGCCCACAAAATACACACTTTACAATATATTCTGTGATGCGCTTTGAGATGTCTGGGTGACATGATTAGGCGCTATTATCAAGTGCAAGTATTATTATTATTATTAATAAATATTGTTTATGTTCTCCCAACTCTAGGTGCTTCCGTTTCTGGCTCTGGGTATCGGTGTCGATGACATGTTCTTGCTGGCTCATGCATTCACTGAGACTGGTCAAAACACAAACATTCCTTTCAAGGTAAGGACAAGAGTGGATTGCTTTTTTGCTTCAACCACAGCTTCCAGCAGTAAATTCCATGTTTCCAGCAGCCCTCTGAGTAAGGACGATTCTCTTAAGTCCCTTTTAGATCTGCTACTGGGGCCATCATATTAATGCCTCCTCATTTTGGACTCACTCACAAAGTATTGTATTGATATTCTGTGACCCCAATATTCCAGCAAAAGCTGCAGAATATTTACCAACTCTCATATCTCCACTATGTCATTGGAGTCTCCTTTCCTCCACCGTTCCCGCAGCACCAACCCCATTAGTCTGCAGTTAACACTGAAACCACGTTCTCAAGCCAATACACCTGATCACCCTATAAGAATCCTTGCAGTCTATCGCTGCTGACGCCATCTCTCGTGTTTGTCTCAGGAAAGGACCGGAGAATGCTTGAGGCGAACAGGCACAAGTGTCGCCCTCACGTCAATCAACAACATGATCGCTTTCTCTATGGCTGCTCTGATCCCCATCCCCGCCCTGCGTGCTTTCTCCCTGCAGGTAGGTGACTGGTGATCTGTAATGTGTTTGTGTATGTGTTGGGGTTGGTGGGGGAGACGGTGGATGAGGGCAGATTAGAGGCACTAAATTCTTTTATACCAGGTGTTGCACATTTCTTTGGAATTTGCCTGCACCACCTCTGTGGCTCACCTGCAGATGTCTTGGCTGTGGAAGGGCTCAGTTGTCTGCGAAACAACACCATTGTTTTTCATGAGGCCTGTATTTGACTTGGGCGGGGGGGGCAGGGGTGTGGGGGCGGTGGTGGGTAGAGGGGAGATCGACTTCTTGAGAGATAAGTGTCAGATTAAAAAAAAGTGACTAACGACTGAAAGTCTTTTTGTAATTGAAAGAAAAATGTGGGAGACAATTTTGAAGGATTGGCAGAGAGTTGGAGATGTGTTATTTTTTATGGCATTGATTAAGAGGATGAAACGTGACACTAATTAAGGGACAAAAAGTCAGGCACAGCTATTGTTTGCCTTGGTTCTTTTAATAAGATTTTGCCTAAAACATTTAAACTTTATTTTAAAAAACCTTACACCAACATCAATATGTCACCCTTTAGCAAAGTGGCTACTGTGTTTAATCTTTTGGCTAACAAATCAGTGCCCAGCCAAGTTGGGAGTCAGATTTATCTTCAGCCGCAATTCTAATTCTGCTCAATTTTAAGAGGACACTTACAGGCGTTCGAGAAGAAACCAGTGTTGAAAGCCTGAGATTTTTACTGTTTTGAAGATTTTTTTTACATTATTGACCCTGCAAGCTCCAGACAAATCTCCGTGGAGTGAGAATTAGTGTTGCATGTCCCTGGCAGTCTCAACATTTCAGCTTCGGAATTAATCTTGTTCGTGCTGGAGGCTGACCGCAAGGGGCATGTGTTTTACACTTACATGTTGCAGATATGTATTTGCTGATTATAAATCGCGCCAGCCAGCTTTGTAGGTTAATTTTGTAGACTGCAAATTGCTTGAACGCAAGGATTATTATTAATTTTATACAACAACAACTTGCATTTACACAGCGCCCCTCAGATAGGGCAGTGTCCTTGACACAGAGCCGGAGGGAGGGAGTCTGGAGGTGACCCGTAGCCATGGTTGAAGAGGAAGGTCTTCAGGCGTGACCTGAAGATGGGGAAGGAAGGGGGGGCAAGGCGGAGGGATAGAGGGAGAGAGTTCCAGAGTATCCCCCAGACTGCCGCAGAGCAGCAGCCCATCGTGCCTGGAGTAGTTCGGTTCCGCTGTGACATTCCACCACTGTTTCCCAGTCAGACGATAGCTGAACAGAGGAAGAAGTAGCCAGGAAACTGGCTGGCTTCCCAGAGAGAGGAAATATCATTGACTGCAGGAAAGGGGGGAAACTACTCCCTCCCGGTTGCTCTCACCCCATTTATTTGTGGAGATCCACATCCTATTTCCCCCGTGCAAAATGCTCCCATTTTACCCTGGAGAGGGGAGAGGCCAAAGACAAGTCCCCAAAGTGCTCACACGGCGCACTCAATCATTCGGCTTCCAGGCAGCTTTCCTCACTTTTCTGCGACACTCACGATAAAGAAACTGGGTTGACCTTCCTTGTGGCTTGTTACAGACTCTCTGTGGCGCTGGGGCTGCCCAGGCCAGGGGCGAGCGGGTTGGCACGGGGTGTGCGATGCTGATTGAAAGCAATATACAGTGGGAATTAAAACAGTGAGAAACCCGCCAGCCAACGCCAGCGCAAACCGGCCAATCCGTGAGCAGGCCCTGAGCTGCACAGCCAAGGTAGTTGACGTAAACGATGGGATATGTCATCCACACGTCAACTGCAGCTATGTGATCTGCCTGAGCTTGCTGGGTGGTCTAGTAGATAATAACGCAATTTAATGTCTGCCTCAGGCAGCTACCCGCATACCCACCCCCTTCACTTCCATCGGCTGCTGTGACCTCAGGAGCCTTTTGCTCCGTAATGTTGATGTGGGGGAAGGACAGTGATGGTGATGGTGGTGGGGGGGAGACTGGGGGTGGGGGCATGCGGATTCCTTAGGTTCAAATCTTTCGCTGATTTTATGTTTTCTTTGGCCTAACGCACGACCTTATGAGTGCTCGGGATGGATTGTAGTACAACTCACTTAAACCTCGAGATATCTTAGTTGGAAATCAGAAACTGCTGTTCAGAGGAATACTACGCCTGAGGCCAGGGTCCTGGAGACGAGCCATAGGTTTACTGCTTTTTACATCTTCCAGAGTTTAAAGGGACACTGCTAGTTTGTAAGTGGGTATTGCCAGACAGACAGCTGAGCATCGACTTTGCTAAAGGAGAGAATAATAATAATAATAAAAGCTAAAATAACTTTGTTAAAATAAAAAAAACACTTCTTGTTACTGTTAACCCTCTATTTCCTCACTCTCTGTTGTGACTTTGACTCTGTTGGCAACAGGTGTGAATTTTTCAAGTTAGGTTTCATCAAAAGGGGAATTTTCTCCCCACCCCAAGGTCCAGCCATTCACCTTCCACCATCCATTCACATGCCATGTCCCAAACTATATACGGTATCCCCCAGATCTTATTTAGCTTTTCAAACGATCGTGGTGTGGCTTTGAATGTCTCCTTTCCCTGCCCCCCCCGCTCAGGCTGCCATAGTTGTGGTGTTCAACTTTGCCATGGTGCTCCTCATCTTCCCTGCCATCCTCAGTCTGGACCTTCATCGGCGTGAAGATAAAAGGCTGGACATCTTCTGTTGCTTTTCCAGGTAAGGATTCCTTTGATCAGGTGGAGTCCTGTAGCTCAGTGGTTAGAGCACTCGCCTCGCAAGCGAGGATTTGATTCCCGGGCAGGGTTAGGGTAAGGGTAAGCTTCCTTACTCCACACGCTTCACACCTAGCAGCAAAGTAGTTGTTAGTCGATTGGCAGGTCGCTTTCCAGGGGTTGTAGGACACTGCTGTGCACAATTGGCTGCCGCAAAATACACAGTCACTACACTTTGCAGTATATTCTATGAAGCGCTTTCAGATGTCTCGACAATGTGATAAGGCGCTGTAACAAATGCAAGGATTATTATTGTAAGATATAGGATGCATCTACCATGTTATTGCAGATACAGGAATCTTCTAATCTAGTGCTTTGTTCACAGTCTCTGCTCAACCAGAGTGATCCAGGTCCAACCCCAAGAGTTCGCTGATGCCAACGATAACCATACCTTCCACCCTTCGCCCTACAGTGGGCCAACGTTCACCCACAGCACCCAGATCACCACCACCGTGCAGGCCTTTACCCAATGCGACCCCACAGGACAACACATTGTCACCATCCTGCCTCCCACTTCACGCATCTCCACGACTCCTTCCATCATTGTAACTTCTGTGGACAGTGCTGGCCTGCAGGGCTTAGACGCCACCAGCTCAACCAGGGACTTGCTGGCTCAGGTGAACGAGACCAAAGCCGGCAGGGAATGTGTCCAGATGCCCTTCGTCAAATGGAACCTGGCAGACTTCGCCCGGGACAAATACGCCCCCCTCCTACTCAAAACCCAAACTAAAGTAAGTGACTCTCAACTGAGAATAATTATAAATCTGCTCTCTGTAGAACTGTTTTGACATTGACAGACTGGCACACTGTGAGCACTGCTTCACGTTAGCCAACTAGTAATTGGATTCTAGATGTACATTGGAATTCGTGACACAGTTACTGTAGAGGGTCAGTGCTGCAAGCCGTTATTGGCTGATATTGATCTCCGCAGCATGTTTAATCATCTTCAACAGAACCATTGGGGGAGTTCCTTAGAAATGTAAAAACATAGAAAGATAGAAGCAGGAGGAGGACATTCAGCCCCTTGAGCCTGTTCTGTCATTCTTTAAGATCACGGCTGATCTATATCTCAACTCCAATCACCCGCCCTTGCGCCATACCCCTCGTTACCCTGACCTAACAAACATCTATCCAGAAAAACTTTGAATGGGGAGGGTTAGGGAGGGATTCATTGTTAAGCAGTGAACGTACTGCATGCAATCTCTTTATCTTGCGATTAGAGTCAACCTTTCTGTCTTGGGGAGAAATAAAAAGCTTTGGAACTGACTGTGTTTTTGTTTAATGATCCAGGTGGTGGTGTTAGTCCTGTTCATGACTTTACTGGGATTGAGCTTTACGGAACGACCATGGTTCATGATGGGCTGTACCTCACAGACATTGTTCCTCGTGAGACCAAGGAGTACGATTTTATCGCCGCTCAGTTCAAGTACTTCTCCTTCTACAACATGTACATCGTCTCAATGGGAGGATTTGATTACCCAAAGTCCCAGAGCTTATTATATGACCTGCACAAGAGTTTTAACAATATCAAATACATCGTCCGTGAAAAGAATAAAGAGCTGCCAAAAATGTGGTTGCACTTCATCCAGGACTGGCTGAAAGGTAAGATTTCATTAATACTTCTCTTCAGTAATGAACAGTAAACTGTGTGAGAGCTTATATGGATTAACCTTAGAAAATTGTTGAAAAGAAATACCAGCTGCACTTTACATAGGTGCAAAGGCATCTAATAAGCTTTTACCAGCAGCTTAGGCCATGTCATAGTTATTGGCCTCATCCAATAACTTTCATAACATGAAATAGGTTCTGGAAACTGTAGAGTTACATTGATTGCCTGCAACATTGAGTAAAGAAGATAGGAATATTCTGAACTATTCGTATCTGGTGATACCCCTCATAATGGGCTTTATGTTGCTCTGAACTATGTGTGAGCTCACAATAGGCTGCAACAACTGACTGTGATGTATAACAACAAAATTACATTTGTATAGCGCCTTTCATGTCTTTGAACTGTTGGAAACTCGTTGATAATGTTTGAACCTTATTAGTACTTGATAGTACGTGTGGGATTGAATGACTCTGGTCCTAGTGGTGAAGCATCACCAGAAAAACATGCGCCTTGGGCCACTGGCATCTAGTGATGTTGCCATAACAGCAGGATTTACATGAAGAAAACCAAAATGAATTAAAAATCATTCAAGAAATATTTGTGAACATTTTCATGACGTACAAGATTTTTTTAAAATTGAATGCGTGTGCGCATGAGGGAGAGAGGAGTACGCACACACACACACACACATGGCCGCAGAGCGAGAGAGAGAAGGGCCACCTGTACTCCCCTCCTCCACACATCCCTGCTCACACACACACACACACTTCTTATCAGTTAGTAAGACTAACAAATGTTGGCAAATTTACCATTTGTGACACTGACTGGTTGAGGATGTTGGAAGTCAAGCTGCTGTTGAAAACTAACTTGCAGGAGGAGATGTGAGGTGACCCCACGACTGTTATCTTAAGCACGGACATATGTTTGCAATATCTGGTAGTGTTGGGAGCACATGCACCTTGCCTGAGTCCATGGATGTTACAAGGCTGAAGCTGTCAACATTCCTCCAAAATATACTGACTTGGAGAGCAGCAGATAGCAGGAGGAAGAACTGACCTGCACTGGAATGAGTCGTGTGAATTTTTAACCAATGTTTGGTCTCTTTCTCTCTTCCCCTCACCCCCTTCTCCCCGACTTGGTTTGAATTCTGCCAGTCAAATTCTGCTAATTAACACTAGAGCCAGCTGCAGCTAAAAGTCCAGAGATGGGAACTTTCTACATTTTTAATTCTTATTTTAGGTAGCGTACCATGGCAACAGAGTGTCTGTACCGGGATGTGCAGAATATTAATCGTGTTATGGGATGCTGTGCCTTCAATCGTGAACTTGGCTCTTAAGTAAGGAATTAGCTTGAAAATGTAATACTCCTGTATGGGTGGTCTCATTCTGTGTCAGATTGATGGGTCATTCATCATAGGTATGAATAAGATAGAGGGAGAGCGAGAGAGCGAGATATATAGGGGTATAAAGAGTAGCAGAAAGACATATCTTGTGAGCAAATGAGACAAAGAATGTACGGAGTGACAGAACAGGAAAGAGAAAGAGAAACAAAGTACACATGGAAGAATAAGTGAGAAATGTAGGCACAGAAGTGTGGAAAAAAAGCAGATGAAGAGATACAGCAGTGCGATAGGAGAGCGTGCACACTGTGTGTGTGTGTGTGTGAGAGAGAGAGAGAGAGAGGACACACACACACAGTGAGAGAGAAAGGGCACACACATACGCATTGAGTGAGAGGGAGTAGGAGTGCACAGGGTAAGGGACGTAGACCATATATCGAGACCCCAGAGGCGGGCCTCATTCAGAGTTGGCTGTATTCCAGCTTGTTTTTAGATTTGTACAGAATGCCCTTGTCTGCCTGCGTGTGGTGTTTTAATTGTAATGATATACAGCTGAGACTCAACAATCTGAACAAATTTGTGGGTGGCATCTTTTATTGGATTATGAAGGCTTGTGGATAAAGAAGCCCAATTTCTATAGAGTCAGACATGACATGTATAAAATTGTATTGGATTCTGAAAGCTTCTGGATTAGCGAGATGAGGGAGTGGGGGAAATGTTAAGCCTTGCAATTGCTGTGTGGTGAGAGCGTGAAGCTAAGGCAGGAATCAAAATATCTTGAAAGCATCAACGTGCACAAGAAGCATTTAAGAACCTGTTAGTAACTGACGCATTCATTAGGTTTTATTTCCCCCGCAAATAGTGTAGTGCCTTGGGACGTCCTCCCGACGTGAAAGGCGCTATACAAATGTAATTTTGTTGTTGTAATGCTCAGTGTTCGAAATGAAGGAAAAGAAAAGAGTTGATGAACATTGGTATCAGAGGATCTCGCGTTATCTTCAGAGTAAACTTGTCTCGGGGTTCAACGAGGAGGCTTGATATGGCTTTGGCTTCTTGCTCCGTGTTGTGTCTGTCTGCCTACGCTCCGCTATAGTTGTGGACTGCAAACACTGCTAATAAACAGGACCTCACTGATGGAAACCACATCAAACACAATTTTAGAATATTCCCTCCCCTGACTCCCATCCCTGTGCCTGTCCTTGTCGCCACCCGAGCACGTTTTATTTGACTTGTAAATTGCTAATAGTAATCATCCTTGCATTTGATATAGCGCCGAGACTTCTCAAAGCACTTCACAGATGAAGAGTGAATAGCAAATTAAATGATGCACCAATTGAAATTCCTCTAAAAATCCAATGTGATGGGAGCTGAAGAGCTCAAGAAACTTTGAGCCCCAACATTTTAATTCAGAGATTAATAGCAAATAAGAGCAAGGTGTGCTTTTATTCATAAATATCCCATCTACATTGCACTAGTACTAGAGGGTCAGTCGTGAGTTCAGCGCTACACTCAATGTCAATTTAAAAATTAAATTAACCCTGGAGAATAATAATAGTAATAATAATAAAAGGAGAAGTGACCAAATAGTATTTATCGTGATGAGCTACAATTGTAGTTATTGATCAGTTTTAAGTGATGATCTTTCTTGTTACTTTCCTTCTTTTTTGCCCCTTCTCTGTGAAGGCAAGTTAGCGTAGAGGCTTGAGATCATTTGATTTTACGTTGGGTAAGAAACCCAACCTGGTGAACTTCAGTCGCCTTCTTTGTCAGCATTGCTCAGACCGTAAATGTTCCCTACTTCACTGTTGGTTTCTGCGGGCAGCCTTGGCGGTCGGTGCCCCGGGTACAACTGAACATCACTGTTCTTAGACACGCAACAGACAGAGGCTGCACAGCTGTGTCCAGCTCTCGTGACAGTCAAGTCAGAGAGAGATCTCGTCTCAAGCTGAATTGCTTTTGCCTTTCGGGCTGTTGGGGAGGGAGGGAGGTGAGGTGGGGGCGGGTGGGAGAAACCACCGCTTTTTTTCCCAGTAACCGTACTCGTATTACAAGCTGATGCCTCCAGGGCTCCAGTTGATTGCAGCGCTGAGATTGAATGACAAGGTGTGTTTACATTTTAGCCAGAATCAATTTGACAAACACCCAACTCTCTGCCCAGGATGTGCATGAGGTGGATCCTGTAACTGACGACACCCACTGGAATCTCTTTACAAAGGCCGGAGATTAGAATTGTTTCTCCTAGCTTTTTTGTTCTGTTTTGAAGATTTATTTAGCTGCTTTGGAAATTGCTTGGATCGTGTGATATTTGTTCTTTTTTTTGTTTGGGTATTTGCTGTTGTGTTGTATTGCTGTACACTTTGCCAGAACACACACATAATTCCTTTTTGTGGAATTTCAACTGTCTACTATTCAGATGTGCACTTGGCTGATATATGCTGGGGGGAGGGAGGGAGGGAGAGTGGGACAGAGTGAGAGAGAGGGAGAGGGAGGGAAGGCGGGTGTGGGAAGAGAAAAGAAGCACATCTGGAAAGCCAAATGCGATCGCGGAGGTCTCCTTTCTAGTCAACGTTCTGCCTTGTCTTGTGCATTCCTGCTTTTAAATCATTACAGTATGCACCACTAAGACCCTACAAGGGAAGCAAACTAACCTATGATTCAACCACTAGTTTAGGAGACAGTCTGTGCACGCACAACGATTAGTTTGACTAAAAGTTTTTTTGGGGGGAAATTATCTACGATTCCACCAATCAGGTGGTGCTGGCTGGTTACTTGTGTTTGGTGCTGAGGCCTCAGTGTCTGTGCCCAATGAGTTGGATGGTGTTTTACTCGCGCCCGCCATGTTATTAGCCAGAGATACTCGCTCCACGTAGCTTTACTAAGACTTTGTGAGGACAGCCACAGAACTCTCGAAACTTCTGGTAGCCAGAAATGCTCAAGTCTTTGAACTGTTTGACCCAAATCTCCCCCGAGTTCAACCAACGTTCTTCCAAGAGCCTAGTGTGCGCGGAGCTTTGAGGAGTGAATTTGTACAGCTCTGCATCAAGTCTTACAGGTCTCTCAAAGCCTCAGTGACATTCCACCTTCCTTTTCTCCCTTGCTGTTAAAGAATTGAAACCTTAAAGTCAAGGCCACTAGTGCTGTCTATACCAAGTTATCGTAGCCATTGCTTATTGCCAATTCTGGTGTGTATCCTCCACAGAAGCATGTAATTGCACTCAATTTATACCTACTCGCGTCTCTCCCACCAAGCACCAGTGTAGAACTCTTTATGCAATGAAAATGCTGAAGTATCTCAACATCTAGCTTGTCCCGTTGCTGCTGAATACGTACAGAGTTGTATACACAAACATGGCCAAGTTATGTCGTCATAACTTCCATAGGTATCATATTTTGCTGGTTCCCAGGAGATATTCTCAATTACTACCTTCTAGGAAAGAACAGTCCTGCTGGAATCACTTTGTTACTGGTTCAGTATAATTTATTCCCACTTTCATTGTTTCCCGATCCTCTCCTGGGGTAGAGTTCCACATGCACTGGCAGCTCTCCAGCACCTCATCTTAATCAACCATTCCTCACGTGCGAGCAAGTAACAGAGCCATAGGCACAGCAGAGAGAGACGTAGTGACAGAGAGACACACTCAGACGGCACTAAAACAAGGGGCAGCGAAACGGTCCAGAGACACACACAGATGCAAAATAAAAGGAAAATGAAGAGGCTTTTATTTGCATGTTCAAAGGGTTTTTGCCAGATGGAGTTTAATGGTTAAAATAAAATGCCTTTTGTCACAGGCGTGACAGATTGAGCAGCCTATTGGTTTTTCAAAGTAATTATTACCCTTTTCTGTCAGACCACACAGGGTATCATCATTCAAAGTTTCCAAAAATAAAATAAATAAACTTGCACGCTGTTCCTTTTACAGCCCTAGTCATTTCCAGCCCTTATTGTGGTCTATTTTGCTGTGATGTTAAATGACTCGCTTTGAAGTGCATTTTTTCTTATTTATTTCTTTTAACAAAGTGGTGGCAACAAACTGTCGGTTTATTGTCATTTCATGTTTTATTTCTTAATTAAATCTACATTGAAATCTTGGGCTAACTGCTTTCTAATTTTACCACCCAGTTTCAAGGCAATATTATTAATATCAAGCACTTAATGTCAGGCTCGGTAGGGCACCCGCCTCCAGATAATAATAATAATAATAATAGTAATACATTGTAAACTACAACAGAAAACTTGGGTGATTTCTGAACAATATCTGAATGTCAAATATGTGTTTTGATCTGAAGATGGCATTCCTTGATCTATATTTAACTCTTAATTTGACACAAATCTCACTCGAGGGAAATTTTCGAGGGCATTTGGGAAATGTAAAATTCACACCTGTTCAGTGAGGAGTGATTTTTCTGAGATTGGGTTTATTGCAATGTCGAGCTAACTCAACACCTATCTGTAAATCAATGTTCTTCAGAGACTGGGGTTGTAGTTAAGTGCAAAGACCTGTCGTGTTCTGAAATGCTGTTGATTCCTTCCTCCAGGATTGCAGGTGGCATTTGATGAGGACTGGAGGACAGGTCGGATCACCAAGGAAAGTTACCGAAATGGTTCAGAAGACGGAGTTCTTGCCTATAAGCTACTCATACAAACTGGAAACAAGAAAGAACCCTTCAACTATAACCAGGTTAGTCACATGCGCATGGTTGATTCCGAGGCTATCAGATAATGGCTGCTGTTAATCCTTCTGCTGCTCTGGATGAATGTAAATAAATTGGGGAACAACACTATCATGAAATCACCGTAAAAGTTGTAACTTTAACATGTTCTGGGGAAGGGGTGGTCCACATAGTTAGAGCAATGTCCTGTCACCTCCAATTTGGATGGCAATAGATTCTCTGAGGATCCGGATGATTTATGTTTGGGTTGTTTTAGTGCCACCAGAAGTGAGTTCACAGTGAAAATTGCCTTTTCATTCACACTAAGTTGGATTTAATTACAAGTCTCACTCAAGCAATTCACGAGAGTAACTGCCTTTGCCTACAAATCCACAGTCACAACATGTCACAGTCCATCCTGTAAAGCACTTTGAGATGTTTCGATGATGTGATAAGGTGCTGTATCACACCCGAGAAGCTAACAGGTGGAGGGTCTTCTTTTTTCGTAGTTGACTTCCAAGAAGTTACTGGATGAAGATGGAATTATCAATCCTGACACCTTTTATATCTACCTGACGGTGTGGGCTAGCAATGATCCTCTGGGTTACGCTGCGTCTCAGGCTAACTTCAACCCCCATCCACCCGAGTGGATCCACGACAAGTACGACACAACCGGGGAGAACTTGAGAAGTAGGTATTGTGAGGAAGAGCTGCGTCGTAAAGACTTTTGTTGAATAGGGAAACCTGTCAGGCACATCACTAAAGCTTACTTGTCCACCAGTGTCTGAGAGATGAGCATAATACACAGTCAGTCCATTTTACAATCTATTCTGTGAAGAGTCATCCTTTTCCCATCTGCCGGGCAATGTGTTTGGCCTTTGCCGAGGAGGCACATTGTGAAAAATGAGCCTGAGATTGATTTATCAGTGAGTCCATTTGGAGTGGTCATTGGGTGCCCAGGTTCCTGATCTCAACCAGAAGTGTTGGGGGGATTTGGTGGTGGTGGGGAGGAGTTGGGAGGGGAGAGAGAGTGAGAGAGGAGAGCCAGATCAGCTCCATGGAGACCCCTCTTACCTCCCCCCCCACCCCCACAGGAGGAGAGGGTGATGGTACAGAGGGACCTCTGAGATCTGAGTTGTGAATGGTGTCACCTGTCCTCTGTGCTAGCAGATGTGGCATCTTGATACTGAGGAAGGCTTCTCTCCGGTTGCAGTGGGTCCTCCCCCCTCCCCCTCCCCCTCATTAACAGCAGCCACCTGTGCTCAGCAATCAGCAGCCCTGTGACCCGGCCTCACAGGTCATTTGGACATCCAGTGACCCTTCCAAAATGGTCATGTCCTGCCTACAGAAATCAGATGTTCCCTGTGGCAGCACGTCTAACTCCCACTTTAAGGAGAAGCTGGTTGCACTTGCTGCGATAGAAGGATTATTGTGATGCAGATCAGATCAAGAGGTACATATCACACAGTGAGATAATGACAGAGTTTAATCCCTACTGTCCTAAAATACAGAATGAGGAATATATCAATAATCACTAAATCTATAGTTTCCCTTCAATATTTGACCATTTTTGGTTTTAATCAGAAATTGATAACTGATGTGCAGTGACAGTGACTTAAACTGCTTAACTGTCTGTCTCAGCTTCACTAAAGTCTTTTTCTGTCTCCCACAGTTCCTGCTGCAGAACCCATCGAGTTTGCCCAGTTTCCTTTCTATCTGACCGGCCTGCAGCGGACATCAGACTTTATCGAGGCCATCGAGAGCGTGCGGGCGATCTGTGACGAGTTCACTAAGAAGGGGGTGCTGAACTATCCCAATGGCTACCCTTTCCTGTTCTGGGAGCAGTACATCGGCCTGAGACACTGGTTCCTCCTCTCGATCAGCATTGTACTGGCCTGCACCTTCCTGGTGTGCGCTCTCCTCCTCCTCAATCCCTGGACAGCAGGCATCATTGTAAGTGTTTGCCAATCGTTTAGTGGGCACAACAGTCAGAAGGGAAATGTGATGCACCTTGTTCTTGGGACGTCTTCCCAACGTGAAAGGCGCTATACAAATGTAATTTGTTGTCGTTGTTGTTCTGTTGTTTCTTTGCAGATTTATACAGATATTCAGAGACTATAGGGTCTAACATGCACTACAATTTGAGTCTCTAGAAGAGGGAATGTTATGATAAAGACAGTGTTACCAAATGACCTATATTTTGACCTTATTTTAGTAAAGGTTTTTCAGTTTTGCTCTTATTACCAACACTCACACCAGACATAATTTTTTTTCCTCTTAAGTTTTCACCTCTCTGTTGTGCTAAAACCAGACAAAGTGGTATCAACCTAGAATATTCCATAAATAGAGCCTATCTATCTCCCTGGTGCTGCAGACTCGCAAGCCTTGCCCGTGAGGATGAGTTAAGATTTTTACCAGATGTGAGGGAACACCTGGAACTCTCCCAACATGGCACATCTGGTGTTTGTCTCTGTTCTGTTGGAGAGCATCCTGGGCAAACCTTGAGGTGGACTTTTGAAACAATTTCTGGGATCGTTAACTGTCACTTCACATTTTACATGCAATATTTTACGTCTGATCTTTGTGGATCTTGTGGTCGGCTTCTTTGAATTTCCAGGATCTCTCGGCCTTGCAGAACCACACGCTCATACACTCACACACACACGCTCTCACACACACACGCTCACACACACGCTCACACACACGCTCACACACACGCTCACACACACGCTCACACACACGCTCACACACACACACACGCTCTCACACACACACGCTCACACACACACACACACTCACACACACACACACGCTCACACACACACACACGCTCACACACACAGACACTCACGCATCTTGAACATGGAGTTGGATGGATTGTTCTGGATCGTGTTGACAGGTGGAACACGGATAGCACTGACTGGAGCTCTTCCTGAATCAGGGTTTTTGGAAAGCAAATCTTCTAGCTGACGTTGTGGTGCAGACTGTCAGGCTTAGTGTTTGTCGGACAAGTAAGATATCTGTAATAGGGGTAAAACCAAACCTTAAACATTCTTCGTAGAAATGGACAGTTGGAAACGCCAGAGAGAAAGTACAGCTTCATTTTTATAACCTTCGTAGTCTCTGAAGGAACACTGACAGTGGCCAATAAATTAAACTCCACGAGATATCGTTCCGGGCTGATGGAGTACAGTGGAAGTAATCTTTTAAGAAAACAGTGATAAAATAGTCAGCGCTCAAGGGACCCCCACATCCCTGTCTGTTTGAATTTGGGAAAAGAATTGTCCTTGGCTTGACCTTCATGTGCTAAATCAATCCATCAACAGCTGAAGGGCTAAGGCAGCAATGTGCCTGGGAAGGATTTCACAGTGTAGAAGGAGGAGGGAGGGCTTTGGCCAGAAAGGGTCATCACAAGGCATTTTTCCAAGGCCATGGAATGATACCATAAAACGCATATTCAGCTTCAAAAGAGAACCACAGGGGAAAACCAGGAATCTTTGGTAAAGGAATCCCTAACTGCTGCTTAGTCGTGAAATGTAAATTAAAGTTGTTTTGCATTGTAAGGGTATTTTAATCTTCAATATACACAATAATATAATAATAAATAAGCCTTGCATTTGATATCGCGCTTTATCACATTGTTGATTCACAGAATATACTGTAAAGTGCAGTGACTGTTTTGTGGGCAAAATGCCACAGCCGATTGCACACAGCAGTGTTATACCTGCACAAGAGGATGTTACTGTTTCTTTGGAATAAATGATTTTACAGTCGGTTAATTCATTACCCCCCAGGTATGGCCTGGTAATATTTAACACACCGTCCTCCTATGTAATACACAGCCAGGTTGCAAAAGCTGATGGCTGTAATGATAGCAGCAACAGAAGGTGCAATCGCCAGTAAATCTATAATAGGAACCATCCAGTATAGTAAACAGCACAAAACTGCCGTGCCACTGATGGTGATAATGTACCCGGGCTGAATATGACATTCAACCTCAGGGTAGAAAGTGAATGGTATGGTCAGTACCATGTTATTATGTTGGTGGATTAGTAGCTCGTATAGTTCTCACTGCGATTTATAAAGAGAATAAACAATGGCTGGGATTGGGTGGGTTCAAGGATTGGGTGGGTTCAAGGATTGGGTGGGTTCAAGGATTGGGTGGGTTCAAGGATTGGGTGGGTTCCAGGTTGCAACACCTTCGGGGTGCAGTTGTCATCATAAAAATGTAAAGCCTGAAATTTGATTGTGACACTGTGATCTGAGCCCTGTGAGTGGAACATACTCGACCTACTGCGTGATGTGTAGTTTGTACCCAGGTCTCTGCCAGTCATTGACGTGCAAGAGTTGCCCAAGAAATGTGAGGTGCCCTTCCTCCACTCCTTAAGTCTTTCCTCCGCTGCCCAGCCTTGAAGCTCAGCACTGTTGAGATTGCAGCCTTGAGGTGGAGGGAGTAAGAATAGATCCTCACAGATGGAAAGTCTCATTCTAGCTTCTGTGTTCAAGCGCTGTCGGACTTCATTCAGAATCATTTTTTTTTTGTGTTGAGAAAAATTGAATGCAGCGTTCCTCTTCCTCTGGTGTCTTTGGTTGGATGAGTAGATGCTTCTTGACGGCTCTTGTGATGAGAGACATGCAGGAAACCTGCCCTCGCCAGGCATAACGTGAATCCTATTCACGCGCAGGAATATTTTCATAGTTTTTCCATAGTTCCATGTGCGGTCGTCTAAACGCATGACAATACCTGCCCCGTGCTGATTTCAAAGCAAAAAATCATATCAGCCTAAGTGTGGAGGAGGCAGAGGAGTAAAAAGAGACGTAGAGAGACATTTTCACGCAGGCAGAAAAAGATTCAGCCACTCGCCATAGTCATGCAGCCAAATATGTAAGTCTCTCAAGCAAAGAGTTCCGAGTGGGCACTGTTTTTGTGAGGTATGCTTATCCCTAGTTTAAAGGTGGCAGACATTCCTTGTAAACACTGAGCATTTGAATCGCACTGGAGGCCCCTGTAACTTGATGCCTAACAGATGATAGTGGCACCAAGGTTCAGAGAGAACGCTGGCTTGCTGCTAACCTCATCTTCCCCAGGTCTGGGCTAGAGGGGCTCGAGGAATTTACATTTAAATAGCTCTGAGCACAAGATAAAAGCACAGACTATAAACAAACCCCGAGAGCTGCAGAGTTTTCTTACAAAAGGGCAAGCACCCTTCCCCCTTTCGAATTAACCCTCAAAGTATATCTTCAACCTAACAGGAAGCTTTTCAAATTCTGTCAACGAAAGGGTCCCAGAATAAAACGTCATGGTTCTAAAGTCTTGCATCTATACCTTAATTATTTATGTCAATATTACACTCCCCCTTTGTTTTATTAAGTGCTCCGATCTGATCAACTGAACAGATAATCTATGTGAGGTTCAATCCATTGGCCTCATGTCATTACAAGTATAATCTATAATAATAATCCTTGCGTTTAATATACGACAACAACTTGCACTTATATAGTGCCCTCCACGCAGGGTAGCATCTCAGAGGGCTTAACAGTGGCGGAGCCTGACTCCGAGCCGGGTGGGTGGGAGGGCTAGGTGGAAGAGGAAGGTTTTCAGGAGGGACTTGAAAAAGGGGAGAGAGGGGGCAAGGTGGAGGGATTGAGGGACAGTGTGACAGAGTTTTGTGGTGTAGCGGCTGAAAGCGAAAGAAATAATGAAGGTTTAGATGCAGGACTTAACATAATACCTCATCATGTCTTCAAGACGTCTCAAAGCACTTCACAGAATATACTGTAAAGTGAATTAACTGTATATTTTGTACATTGTCCGTATTCTGTTGCTTTTGCTGATAATTGTAAATTAATCTAAAATCATCACCACCTCTTATTTTTCTCCAGGTGTTTATTCTGGCTATGATGACGGTGGAGCTGTTTGGAATCATGGGATTAATTGGCATCAAACTGAGTGCAATCCCTGTGGTCATCCTCATTGCATCTGTGGGAATTGGAGTGGAATTCACTGTCCACGTGGCTCTGGTAAGTACATCACCATTGCTTTTCCTCTACTACTCTACCCATCTATGCCATCTTCCCAAGGAGTATCCTGGCCACTGTTCCAGGGAATCTAAGCAACCTTGACCTGCCCATGCCCACTGTGCTACCTTATGGTACAGAGCGATCCAGCAGGGGCATTTTCAACATTTGCAGGATATCTGACAGCAGACTTGGAATAACCTTTACCAACAGCTTAGTGGCCGCTCCTGAAAATCATGGAAACATAATGCCCCAAAATGTTGGGGTGGTTTGAGGTGGATCTGATGTCAGAAACCACTGAGGACACGAGAATTAATCAATTTTTTTTAGAGGAGTGCTTTTTAGCAAAAGAGGGAATGGGTTCTTCAAAGACCTATTTTGAATGACCATGTTGGACTATGTGTTGAACATGAGGTGAGATTGATGGTTGCAGGACCTTAATTTTAATCTCGATTCTGTTTTTATTACACTCTAGGGTTTCCTTACTGCCATTGGGAACAGAAACCTGCGTACAGCTGTAGCATTGGAACACATGTTCGCACCAGTGATAGACGGGGCAATCTCCACGCTACTCGGGGTCCTGATGTTAGCTGGCTCCGAGTTTGATTTCATTATCAGGTAGGTTTTGCTTGGAAGCCTTATTAGACGACAAAATTATTATTATTATTTTTCATTGTGTTCTTCGGTGAAATGTTTTAAATTGCTCAGTTTTTAAAGTTATTTTCCCCCTTCAGCCCCTCACCCCCATTTCTTCTTTTGCCCCATCAATGTTCCTCAGATAAGGGACTGAGAGGATGATTTGTTACCAGACTTTGTTTTGGGGGGCAGGGAGGGGAAGGGAATCTGATGCCTTTCTATTCTGGGGGAGTATTGTGCTCTGCCACTGTGTTGGGAAAGGGGAGAAATTCCAGTATTTCCAATTCTGTCCCATTCCCACTGGATTCAATTCCTTACAAATCTGGAGATTTGAGTGACAAGCCATTCATACTCCAATCATGTTGCATGTTGTATGGGCGATCTATTTCCCCCCCCGTGCCCCCACCTCCACGACCCCCTCCCCGTTCAATTAACATTGATGCCTGTCGCTGACAGGTCTGAGGAGCAGGGTTAGACAGTTGTCCGGGCTATCACAGGAGTGGGAGGGGAAAAGCCGGTGAGATAGGAGTTTTCCCACCTGACCCTATCACTCTGTCTACTGATTCTCACAACAAATGGGGAAAACATTAAACCACCATCTGTCATAAACAGCAGCTGAGGGGAGTGTGTGGGGTTGGGGGGGGACCTAATTGTTGGAATGTTCTTAGCCTTCATTTACACTGATCTCCCCCCACCCCACCCCCACTCACACCCTCACCTGATGATGAACCTGACCATGGAAGCTGTGTGTGGAATCATGCACACAATATCCTACCTTTTCTTGTAACTGTTTGCTTAGGAAAAACAGTTACTATACTTTGCAGTGTATCCTTTGGAATGCTTTTGTATGTTGCTTATCCACGTGATTAGAGTAGGTAGACAGAGGCTATGCATTCCTACCAGGCTCGTTCCATTCCCGCTCCGTGACAGGGAAATAAAAGTGCTCAAACCTCCTGGGTTGAACTCATCTGATTCTCAGCAAAACGACAATGTCCGAGCCTGTGGGCTGAGTTAGCTCATCTCGGTTGAGCTGAGGGAGGGTTGGGGGAGGAAATCAACATAGGTTCCCAATATCTGAAGACACCTCATGGAAACTGTGTATGGACTTAGGGTGAGGACAGATCCCAGCTTGGCTCTGATCCACATACTGATCGTGCTGGCTAACATTTATGAAATCTGCACATGAACAATGGCTGTTTGGGGCAAGATCCCTGAAAGGAATTAGCACATAGAGAGGAGGAGAAGCCTTTGCCAGGTATTGAGTGAAGCCTGGCTGGGATAGCTAGTGTCTCTGCCCTCTCACTCTCACCTGGAGAAGGAAGGGGCCATGTTTTAGGGGAATTGAATTGAAGGTACAATGTTTCTTTTTAAATAAAAGGAGTATTTAAGGTGATCTCATCACTGAATGAGTTTTCTGTACTCCGGAGGGATTGAATATTCAGGTGCCAACAGTCATAAATCATGATGCAAAAAATATGTAGAGAAGCAGAGTGTGAAGTGGAGCTGGTCCGGTCCTGTGATGGGAAGCAGCTTCCTGTGTCCATTGGGAATTGACAACCATATGTGATAGTGATTTAAGCCTCTTCAATCGCTCTCGGCCAGGCTGATCCTCAGCTGTCATGTCTGCTCGTTTGATTGGCGTAACCTATGGCACTCAGTAGCTATCCAGTCAGTGCGTGTTCCCAGAGCAGAACTTGGGACTGGAAAAGTGTTGTCTTCTAGGGTGGGCTGGTGGTCCTCGGGGTTTGACGTTCAGAGAAGACTGGAGTGCACGGTTTGAAGCCATCTATAAAATTGTAGGTTTAATTACAAAGGGAGCGTTCCCCACCCCCCCCCTCTCTTTTCTCTCACGCTCATTGATTTTTTTTCTCTCCATTTCACTTGAAGGTGTTGACCCCCTATCTCACGATCATTTCATTCAAGACAGCACAAGGAAAATATAGCTGAGAAACCAAAGAAAATTCACCCCCACTCGTTTTTTTTCTGTTCAGGTGAAGTGAGGGATGAGGAGGGGGGAGAATAAGATTTGGAATTCCTGATAAGATTTACACCCATCATTCCCCAATATGCCACTATTTCAACTCGAATATGAACAATACAAAAAAAATAGATCATCACCTGCCCCACTAGATTGCCATTAGGCACAGTAGCTAGACAGAAGCTATGCAAAATGTTGCTTGTCTTGAGAACAAATTAGATCGATTTCTCCTAGAAAATAAATATCTGGGGATACTGTATATAGTTTGGGACATGACATGTCAAGCGAGTGCCAGGAGGTGGAAGGCGGACTAGATGGACCATGGTCTTCTTTCGCCAACAAATTCGTATATACTTACGGATTGCATTTTCCTTTTAGAAATGATACGAAACAGCGACACTATTTTGCACCCACCCACTCCCAATTCATAAAAGAAAACAGCAACTTGGATGTATATAGTGCACCCCACGCCGGACGGCATCTCAGAGCTTCACAATAACGGATCCTGGGGCCGAGCCGGGGGTGGGAGGGGGAAGAGTCAGGGAGGGGGCGGAAGGTGACCAAAGGTGTGATTGAAAAGAAAGGTCTTCAACAGAGACCTGAACATAGGAAGAGAGGGGACGAGGGGAAGGGAGTGAGGAAGGGAGTTCCAGAGCCTCGGGGCATAGTGGCTGAGGGCACGGCCACCGGGGGGAAGTGGAGGAACAAGCGTTGGAATAAGTGAAGCACACAGAACACTTTGATTCAGGGAGGTCTCATTCCTCAAGCTGGTCAGATAGCGTGGCTTATTGTAAAGAGGGTTTTGTTGTAAATATTTCCCCTTCAGTGCGTGCACCATAAACAGCTGAGCAAACTGCATTTCTCAGCGAGTCTGTGTTGCAATGGGAAGAGATTACAGAAAGTATAAATAACAAGACAGGATTGTGAGGCACAGTGCCTGTATGAAGGTCCTAGGAAACAAACAGTTTCTAATGCTCTTCCTCCCCTCCCTCCCCCCCCATTCTTCCCCCCCAAAAAAAAATCAAGATATGATTTTCAGAATGTTCATTACGTAAAATGAATAGCTGATAATACGCTGTGTGGTTGCTGCAGCAATCGTGTAGCACTAGTTTAAAGGATGGGGTTGGTGTTGAAGGTTATCAGAGGTGGTCCATTAATCATTTTCATTTGCTGCTATAATCAACACCAGAGTCAATTGTGTAATAACCTTATTTCTGAAAATGCCTATTAACCCCGTAACCCCCAGGAGGGATTATGGCTCACTATATTCCAATCGGAAATGATCGTGTTGATGTGATAATCATGGGGGTCTGTTATGCGAGTTGTGTAAACCATGTTTAAATGGCCGTTGATTGTTAGTTACATAATTAAAGGCACAAGTCATTCCCTCCGGGTTTGCACATGGTTTATGCAACTAATATAATAGACCCCAAAGTTTACACAAGTTGCGTAATGGGCTCCAGCGTAAATACACCACATCACAGAGTTACAGGACAATATCTAGAAATGCTACACACAGTGAGTTGATCTCAATGGGTGGGGTGGGGAGGGGGTGGTGGGAATCCAGACAACAAGACCACTTCCTTCTATCCAGAGGAGAAAATGGATATGTCAGCATGTTCTACTGTTGTGTTATTCCCAGTAATAGTCGCCCACTCTCCCAGCCTGGCCTCTCAACTGGAGAATAATGATTGAAAGCCTGAAGGGGAGTGTATATGTGGACACATGGCATAGAAACATAGGAACAGTTGGCAGCCATTCAGCCCCTCGAGCCTGTTCCGACATTCCATAAGATCAGGACTGATCAGTACCTCAACTCCAATTACCCGCCTTTGCCCCGTATCCCTTTGGTTCCCTAACCCAACAAATCTCATGGAAGGGAAAATAGATTACTTTTAATATCGTTGAACAAAAATTGACTTCTGGATCCATGCTCTTGTGCTCGCTGATGCTTTGTTCCTGACGTCAGGGGGTTGGGAAGTGAGCCTATGTGCTATTTAGCATCTGGTGTGTAAAATGTCGCTCTTTCGAAATGCCTGTGTTTGTTGATGTGGGCAACCGGGTGGCACTTTGCTTGCCATTGGTGGTAGGATACTGTTACATACAGTACCATGACTGTTGTTATTTCACAATCTCAGCCTGGCTGAGATAACAGCACAGATCAGGAATTGAACTTTCAACCTTCTTGACTATACAGCAGTAATGCTAGTTACTAGGTGGTCTTTTTTTAATCAATCATTGAGCGATTTCTTTGGTGTACAGCTTTTTTAAACACCTTATCTGTGGTGGGTGTATTTCACCTACAAAATACACGGTAATACTCTCCAGTAAATCCTGTGAAGCACATTCAGACATTCAGTGACATGAGAAGGTGCAACGTGAAAGGCAGGGATTATTATTGTTATTACAATATCTTTGAACACTGGACAGTTTTCCGCAGATTTATCGAAGCTCTGAGTCGATATGTTTTTTTTATGGCAGCAGTAAATGAGCATTTGATGTGAGAACCCGTCTATATAGCAGGAGGTGCTTAACTTGGGGTCATGTCAAACTTCGCACATACGCGAAGGGCAATATGACTACGGCAACTACAAATTGCATTTATATAGAGTCCTTCGCACAGGATAATGTCTGGGGAGCGCTTGACAGACACGGTGTGGGACTGTCTCTGTGAATTACAAGGTGGATACTGAATATTTCTTGATTGTAGAATTGAGCCTGTGGCAGACACCTCGTCACATTTACAAACACACTCACTCATTCACACTCACTCACTCACACACACTCACTCACACACACACAAACACACTCTCACACACACACACTCACACACTCTCACACAGACACATGCAGCAGGAAGTACCAAGACTGTAATGATAGATGAGCTTGCCACTGGGAATAGGGCTAAGCCTTTTGCTGAGGAATTTCACTTGAAATCGAGCCAAATGTCTTAATCCTTCTAAGTACAGTGAGGAGTTTCTTTGGAGACCTTTTGCTCTGTAATTAATGCCTCCAGACCAACGAGCCTGAAAGGGGAAATTGAGTATAATTATTCACAACCTTTCCCAATTTATTTCCACAGCAGGAGATGTAACTCATTGCTGACCTTGGGATATGCCACCTACTTACACAGCGCAGTCACAAAACATGTGGGATTGCAGCGCATTCAAATTATTGAATAATTTATTAAATAAATGGAATCTTGTTGTTGTTGTTGTTGTTGAACGGCTGGGGGGAAAGGGGTGTCTGTCTGCCTTCATGCTTTCATCCCCAATGGAACTTATTTTCCCCCATAACTCTGTTAATGCATCAAAGTGGAATGCGTCCTAATTGTTACATCACAGATTGCATTTTCACCCCATCGTGAATTATCTTTCCAAGTACCAGAAACGGGGTGGGGTGTGTGTGTGTGTGTGTTTGGGGGTGTGGGCGAGAGAGAGAGAGAGAGAACATCTTTCAAATAGTTTGTCAGAATACAGAAAGCTTTGAACTGGACCTCGGCTTGCAATAACCTCCTGGTTAATTGCTTAATATTCATTGGCCCGCTTTTATTGTTGTTATCTCAAACGTTCATCGGAAATATACTGAACGAGAGCAATCGTAGTACAAATCCATGTGTTCTCTCCATTCACAGGTATTTCTTTGCTGTTTTGACTATATTGACCATCCTGGGCATTCTTAATGGTCTGGTCCTACTTCCTGTCTTGTTGTCAGTTATCGGACCCCCTGCTGAGGTAAGCACGGCAAATGTTTAAAAAAAATTAATTTATTGCAACTGCTTGGATCAGTGAAAAGGAAAGAAAGATGCAAACTGTTTGAGCTTGGACACTCAATCCATTAGTTGTTTCTGATAACTACTAGCAGCAACAATAACAACAATGTGTGTGTGTATATTTATATATAGCAAGGATTATTATTATAACAAATGAGCAAATGATTAAAAGGAGTCAGAAAAGAAATGTCCATAATGATAGAAGTGATGCTGTAATTCTATGTACTGGTGGTTTAATAAAACGAGTCGTGGCATCTGTTAACATTTGCACAAGGTTAACTCAACCTGCAAACTTTGTCATGGGCTGTTAACACAACCTGCAAATTAGAGGGTGATGTTTTTAAAAAATTCTGAAAGGCCTAAGTATTTCTTAGGAGTTTGGGCTTGGTGAGCTGAATGGATTCTTCGATATGTAACTTCTATGAAGAAACAGAAACTATTGTGTTTTTTGTTGGAAGCATGGTAATGTTTGATTACGTAAGGTTTCAGAATCATTTCAAAGCGAATTTTGCCCAGCGAGCGCCTCACCCCGTATAAGTAATTAGTCTAATTGGAACTAGGCCCAGAGAGTTACACATTCGTTTGTTGTGAATCTGCAGCATAAGTGCAGCAGCTGAGTAACTTCAAGGCTGTAATGTAATCCCAGGGTTTAGCAAGCTCTCCTCTCACAGTTTGTGAACCTTGTGTTACTCAAGCTATCCGTTCTTCTGCATATAAACCATTTGAAGCTCTTGAGTAGATCACAACTTTACAATTATTCCCCAAATATCCATTTACCCACCCTGTCCCAGTCGGTGGCCCTCTCGCCTCTTGAGTCAAACGTTTGTGTGGGTTCAACGTCAGGAAGGAGTGGCCCAAATGTGCTCTTAATGGGAAGTTGGTTCCTGGTGACCAAAGTGAGTCCATGCTCAAGAAAAACTGAGAGATTAAGCTCCGGAGAGAGAGAAAAATGTTGATTTTTTTNATCATTAATCCTTTTATTCCATTTTTTATCATTAATCCTTTGAATACGTTTTGTCTGTAGGTCATGCCAGCAGATCGAGGGAGCCGTTTGCCAACCCCTTCGCCCGAACCCATCCCGCCGCCCATGAACCATCACGGCTTTTACGTCCGGACGTTCCCGCAGCAGCAGAGCGGGTTTTGTGAGTCCTCGGATTCCGAGTATTACTCTGAGACGACAGTGTCTGGGATCAGTCAGGAGGACCTGCAGCACTTTGACCAGAGTGCCTACATCATCCCCCCGTCACAGATCCTGGTGGAGTCCGGCACCAATCCCAGCTTCCCACGAGTCACAGTAAGTCTTGCTCTTTTTGATTTGCAAACAACACAACAAATTGCATTGATATTGTGCTTCTCTCTGAACTAGAAAAGTGTTTTTTTCTTTAAAAAAAACACAAAATTGGGTCTTCAAGACCTCTGTTCCTCCCGACGTGAAAGGCACTGTACAAATGTAATCTTGTTGTTGTTGTTCTCAAGGCTGCTTTAGCGATGGTTTCAGAGTTCTGCTTCCCTCCAGTAATAATAATAGAAATAAATAATAATAATCCTTGTATTTGACACAGCACCTCATCACATCTTCGAGACATCTTGAAGCGCTTCACATGATACACTGTAAAGTGTAGTGACCGTATATTTTGTGGCGGAGTAACCTAGCTACAAGCCTGTAGCCGGTAGCTTTAATCCTTGAACAGATCTCGGTCTTTCAGGCCAGCGTAACTGTTTAGTTAGAAAGCTAGATGCAGGGGCAAGGTAAATGTCATTCATATTAATTAACTTTATCTTAAAAAAATCCAATGGATCTGATTTTCTCTGTGTTTATTATCATTATCATGAACAGCTTGTGAAGCCATTCAAGGAGCTAAAGGATTCCTCGTACAGGAAGAATCGGCTGAACTCCAAGGGGCCAACGGTGGATTCTGTTAGTTCTCAGTTGGCCTGGCAGGACCCGAAAGATTTGTTTCCAGAGGCCAGAGAAGCCAGGAAACAGGCCCCCAACAACAGACTGCGCAACAGAGGGGCTTCTCAAACTGTTCTGCCTGTCAATTCCTCCAGGAGTCAAAGCGGCCCCAGGTACAACAGGACTCACCACCCTAGGACTACACTCCCAGCCTATTGCAGCCGTGTGCCTGGGCCGAGCAACCCTTTCACCACAGTGACCGCCACGGCCTCAGTGACGGTGGCCGTGATTCCCGGGGTGTCGCAGCCGTTCAGAGGCTACACCCACGAAGGGTTCGAGGACAGTGAGTCGGACTGCTTTGAGGAGCCGTGTGTGGCCTCCTGTCCATTCCCGGAGAAAAGGACAGACTCCAAAGTGGAGGTTTTTGAACTTCAGGATGTTGTTGAATGTGAAGCAAAGAGCAGGGAAGCCCCAAGAAGGCATTAGGTCAGTATTTGTACCAAACTCCTCATAATAATACTAATAATTCTCATATTAATGCGCATGTTCTAGTGAGAATGCAGGTCTCCACCTGTTATTATGGGATGATCTGATTATAAACAGTGTTGAATGTAAACCTTGAACATTAGCCACTTTTACATGTCATTTAGGAGAAACTGAATGTAATATTAAACGGCTTTGTCACTCTCTCTCCCCTGATGTGTTGGACTGGATTTACTCATGTGCTTATCTTTCACTTTGTGCTTTGCAGGTCGCCCCACATGAACGTGGCAACCAAAGAATGCTCACAAGCACCCCCTTTCCACATCCCCCGCCACCCACTCACCCCCACCCCCTCCCATATCCTGCCGGCCTCCAGCTCCAGAAACGTCTGAAACTGCCTATGTACATAAACCTCAAGATGGAGACAGTCAGGAGAATTTATTTTAAAATATTAAGTTGGTGTTTAAATATATTTTAATACTAAAAAAAAACAAGACAAACCTATTTAATGATGTACTGTATACTTCTGTATTATATGCTGTGTTACGTAAAGTGCGAGAATTTCCTCTTGCTGCTACGTGTAGTGACCTTGACAATGTGTGCGTTTGGGATGGGGATATTTTCCTCACACGCTCGCTCGCACATTAAATATGAGGCACCATATTTAGCAGCCAGAGAAATGTCAAGCCCTCCCCAGAGAGTCAGAGATCTAATAAATGGTGATGTGTAGTGTGTGTACATTGAAGAGAATCTTGGTATGTAACTTTTTGATTAGGTAAATGATAATTGCTTGATTATTTTGCTGCTACTCTTTTTTAAAAAAAAACTAAAAGATTATAGAGATGACATTTCCTCTCTCATCCCCACCCTCCACCCCCCCACCTCATCCCTTCCCATCAGGTTTTTCTTTCTATGCAAATAACTAGTTGCCTTGAAAGAATTGTGTCAGATCGATCACTATGGTTCCGGGTCTATGTTTGGGAATGTTGGGCATTCTTCTGTCGTTTTGTTCGAAAAGTTTAAAGTTATCGGTCATTTTAATTTGTTAAGTCTAAAAATCCATCCCTGACCCAATGCCATCCCTTGTGTGTGCTCAGCCTGATGGCTGGAGAGATTGTTCACACTCACTGTTCAGACTCACACCTGCAGAATGGGCACAAAGCTCACGGAAGCTCACTCCAGCCTTCAGCAGAGAAGTGCGGAAAAGTTAGCAGTGAGGGGCGGGGGGAGGAGGAGAGAAAATAGCCACTTTCAAACCCTTAACCCTCAGGGTGGACAAACTAACCTGTTCCTTGGCCTCTGTTAATGCCATGTTTCAACCCACTGCTCAGAGGTGATTTTACTGCCAAGAGTAATGGCGTGTTTGTCTTAGCTGTTTTCTCTCCCTTGCGCTGTGAACGACAATTACAGGGGGTGTAGGAAACCCTCTCAGCGGGGAGCTTGCAGTATCTTACAAGAACAGAAATATAACGCCCTTAAGAATGTGTGTAGTGTTGGTTCCAACCACACAGGTGCTCTCCGTGTCTGTCCCCACCACCTGTGACAGAATGTCAATCACACAGGTTAGCTTTAGCCTTTCACACTCAAATGACTTACGCAACTAAGTTTTGTTTGGGCCCTTGAATTGTTTCCTGCTCGGCTAATTCACATTAACATGTACAGTTGAAACGTTTCCCCCTGACAGAGCCACCCCTCACCCACTCCCCACCCCACCACCTCCCACGCACCATTCCGTCCAACATAGTGTCCGCAACCCCTTTTAAGATTCGAGTATCCTTTTGTGTCCCTTTCTAACAGGACTGAGGAAATCAGAGCCTCACACTTAGCCAGTAAAAAATAAATGAGTCTTTCTGTTTTTTTTTGTCATTTTGGTGATGTTATATTTATATTTTTGTACAATAAAACCCCCACAGTATACGTCACATAGATATTTACCTATAACACTCTGGATTGGATACTGAGTCACATGGTTTGTATCCTCTAAATATCACAGGAAGAACATCAATAAATGTATATGACCTTCTGTGCAATTCCCTCACCCTCCAAAATACCAATCGCAACTCTGCTGAAACGAGTAATGAGGGGAGATGTCTTAGGGACATGCTTTGTTTAGCTCTAAAGATACACATATTTTCTGACATGTTTGCTTCTACCTTAGCAACCAATGCACACCCAACTCTTCCTTCCTTCCCATCAGTTGAGCATCTTCTCAACTCGCCTCCTGTTTGCTGTGTGAAATTTTAAGATTTAAAAATGTTTCTGATGTAAAACCCGTGAATAACATTTTTTCAAAAGAAAATGTTGGACCATCCCTATGCCTGGATAACATTCCTGTTCACAAACGATCTTACCAGGTGTGGATTATAACTGGATAGGGATATTTAGTGGGAGCTGTCCAGGTGGAGTCCTGTAGCTCAGTGCTCAGAGCACTCGCCTCGCAAGTGAGACGACCTGGGTTTGATTCACGAGCAGGGTGAAGTGTTGGGCAAGTTTCCTTACTCCACACGCCTCTGTTTACCAGCAGTAAGTAGGAACCTGGTTGTTAGTCGATTGGCGGATCACTTTTCACAGGAGCCAGGGTATACAGTCACTGTACACATCTCTCTGCACCATTTAAAGTCGTGCGATGGTCTAGATGGAATTAACACAGAGTTTATTAAAATACAACACTCTCAGAATGTAGTTGGCTTTCCAGAGTTTTACGGGTTGATAGCTGTGAATTGTCTCATCACTGCCAATTCAGCAAAAATGCAGGGAATTTTAACTTACATTTTTTTTCTCAACCTTTTTTGTTATATACTTGAAGCAAAGTGGCTGCTTCGCTCTTAACACCTTGTTTAATATTTCATTTAAAAAAAATACAAATGCTGTATCAAGTGTGAGGGGAAAAAAGAAAAGGAAAAAAATATTTGCATTATAGGATCTAGTAGAGAAGTGTCTTTCTTTCTTTCTTTCTGTGAATCTTGTAGCTTTGTAGCACGAGAGAGAAACAGGTATACCCGTCACATTAAAAAAAGATACCTAATTTGATCATGCTTCTTTTTTTTTGGTTGATGGGTATATGTAATCACAGTTAAAATGTTGTATGCCATATAAGTTATTTATATAAATTTTTATTTTTTTAGTTGTACAGAAGTAGCCATCTGACTGAAGTATATTTTTAAAGAGTAAATATATATTATATATTATATATTGTTGTTACTTGGGTTCATTACAGAGGTTCGGTGGCATGCCTTCTCTTTATGTACACCCCCAGAATGAAAGATGTGTACAGAACTGCTATTTTCTGTGTTTATCATCTTGATGTGTTCCTTGTTCCTCACACCGGCCCCCCCTGTTAATTTGAGGTGATTATTTGGACATCCAGACACTGTGACCAGTGAGCTTTCTCCATGTGACTTATACTGCCGTGTTTAGTCTCCAGCACAATAGGAGATTAACTAACAAAATAAACCTGAACCATTTAATCTAATGTTTGCTGCGTGTAGTTTATTCCATATTTCATTGGTAAAAAAATATCAGGTTGAAACGGATGCTGGGGATTTCTTTTATTGTTGCTATAACCTTTCGCTAACAGCTTCTGTGGGTAATTTTCTCTCTTCATTGTGTTTTACTATCACCGTTCTTCCACCGAGGGAACACAACAGTTGCACATCTGTTCGTCTCACTCAGCAGCCAGATGTTAGGTTCCAGTTCACTTTCTCTTCATCTTCTCTTCCATTTAGAGGCAAGAGAATTTGCTTTCACTCATAGCCTTCATCGTAACACAGGCCAATCCTGTAGCTCAGTGGTTAGACCACTCACCTCGCCAGCGAGAGCCATGGGTTGGATTCCCAGCAGGGCGAAATGTTGGGCAAGTTTCCTTACTCCACACACCTCTGTTCACATAGCAGTAAGTAGGAACCTGGTTGTTAGTTGATTGGCAGATCGCTTCTCCAGGGGTAATAATTCCTTAAAATAAATAAATTGGTCACTTGACTGTTTGTGGGACGCTGCTGTGCGCAATTGGCTGCCGTGTTTCACCTACAAAATATACAGTCAACTCATTTTACAGTATATTCAGTGAAGCGCTTGAGATGTCTCGAAGACGTGATAAGGCGCTATATCAAATACAAGGATTACTATTATTTCAAAATCTCAGTCATTTCATCAGCATCATTTTTAAGTTCACAAAACTGCCCACTGAATCTAACACCGCTTTACAGTGCAATTAGAATCTCACCACAACACATACTAATGTTTTACTCGAAAAAAATTTCAGACCTGGTCTGGCTACACCTGAATTCCGGTTAGACGGGGCATTGAGTGTTTGTTAAATCTGCTGATACACGTGGTAGACCATGAATCTGAAGCTTTTGATGCTGAAGTTAGTGTGCTCATACCCTACACTGATTATAAGTATATGTTATTTAAGGATCATATAACATAAGAGCTAAACAATTGGTAAAGGTGGTGAGTTTCAGTCACGTCATTGAATGTTCTAAGCCGCTGATATTCAGAAACAGCTTGAGCTTTGGTCCAATGGCTTGTGACTTAATCGGTCGCTTAAAGATTATTGACTTGCAGCTCGCTGACAGTCATCCATTATTCTCTTGTGTATTTCACACTTACTCTCTACATACCCTTTAAGTGTCCAGAACTGATCCACAGCTGTGTGGGTAATTGCTCAGAAGTATTCTATTAGTTTTAGAAAGCACACCAAAGGATTAGCTGGCATTCCAGGCATACCCTCCGCAGGTCCTGTCCTTCAGTCTGCTTAAATAATCTTGTTAAACATCGATGGTTCTTAAGTACTGTATTAGCAAAGTCTGAAGGCACCATCGATGTTCAATGTTTCTAGGGGCTGGAGTATAAAACCTGTTAATACTTAACTACTAGTTGATTCCCCATAAAATCTAGTGACACACAAGTTTACAAAGCACTTTATGACTTGTAGTTTGGGTTGGAGGAAGCCTTGTGGTCGTCGGTGTAAAGAATGTCCTGCTATTGGCTCGCGTGGCAGGAACGTTACGTGTACGATTGCTGAGTTCTAGTGTAACAACTTGCATTTATATAGCGGCTTCACCCGGGCTGGCGCTTCACAGCGGTGGAGTCTGACAACGAGCCAGGGGTAAGAGTGTAGCGTCATCTCAACACATTTCTTCCCAAGTGGTTGATCTCACAAAGTCATCGTAAATACATTAGGATCGTTATATAAACCTGCTGTTATCAAACAATTTCCGCCCCCCCCCACCACCCGCCACACACAGCTTCACTCCCCCCCCCACTCCCCTCCGCTCCCATCTGCTCCACTCTGGGTCGCTGCCTTGTGTGAGGGGAGTTATATAAATGTAAGTTGTTGTTGTTGTCCTCCCAGAGTGAAAGGCGCTGTATCAATGCAATTTGTTGTTCTATTAAAAGCAGTGTCCACAGACAAGCAACCATT